CTGAGTCCTTGCTTACCAGGCCTGTGCCTTGTGTGACCTCTCAAATGCCCTTTGCTGCCTTGTGTCCTTAGTCTCTGGGCACCTGCCACCCCATGATCTCCCAGCCCTGCCCCAAGGGTTACACAAATTCTTACCTTGGTGAAAAGATATCTATCAGCTACTGAGGCCCAAGATTTAGAGGTCTAGAGGTCACCCTTAACCCTCTTTTGTCATGACTGAGTTCTACCATTTTTGATTCCTAAAAGGCCGTAAGTTCGCCTCCTTTTCCTCTTGTTGCCACCAGCACTGCCCTCACAAAGGCTTTCATCTCCCTCACCTGGACACTCTGCTCACACTTTTAACCTGGCTCCTCCCTACCATTCCAGGCTCCAGGCTGCATATGAGCTCCCCAGCTGTGGCCTGGGCACCCCAATGGGCGAAGGTGATGGCTAGTGGCACATTGCTGGATTTTCCTAACATTAAAGTCCACACAGAGGATGGCCCCATGTCTGATTTTATTTTGATATTTCTGCTTCTATCAAGAAGGAAATCTGTTTTGTGCTTGTATGTTTTTTTTTTTTAAGATGTATTTATGCATACAAGAGCTGGGGTACAGGCCAGAGGTGCGGGGGGTGAGAGGACCCTCCAGAGACAGAGTGGGAAACAGAACAGGCAGATTGACCAAAGTACACTGCTGAGGGGAGCAACAGGCAAGACAGGAGAGGTCTGCTGCGCCATGTGGGTTGCTCCCTGGCTGGCCGAGGATCGAACTCGTGCTGCAGAGGCTGCGGATTGCTTCATAGTGTGGTGCTAACCCCTTGCGCCACCAGGGAGGCCCTCCTTTTTTCTTTATGGGGTCACTCCACCTGTCTTTGCTTCCCTAATCTAGGTCTTATTTAATTTTCTGTGCTTTTGAATTTGACATAAATGGAATCATACTATATATATTCTACTTACGGGATGTTTATTCTTCACACATTAATGTTCCTGAAATTTTGTCATATCGTTGGGAAATATAATCCTTTTTCTCCTTTTCTAAAAATCCACTTTTAATATTTACTAAGTAAAATTTCATTATTAAGTATATTTTATTAAGTCAATTTATGATTTAAGATATTGAGAAATTTCTCCTTAATTTGGAGAAAAATACTAAATAATAGAAGTTAGGACTGCAGTCTGGAGTGTGTATAAAATGTGACCCTGAATGTCACTGATCTGAACCCTGGTGCTTCTTCAAGGCCACTGTCCTGGACCTCGGCAGGCCTCTAGCTCCTACTTCCCACTCCAGTCCTATTCAGTCAGGGGGCTTTGCCTCCAGCTGTGGCTCAGGTTTCACCTGCATGTGCTGATCCCAATGTGATCAGGGAAATGTGCCCCCCCTCAGGGGGCCCTGGGACTGTACCCAGGTTTCCACAGTGTTATTACTTTGGGGGTGCAGTGAACTGTCCGCAGGGGGCAGTGACCTCTTCCACAGCAGGAGCCACACTCAGTTCCAGTCCCAGGCTCAGCTTAGACCCTGCGTGTTGGGTAAAGAAATGCGCATATAATTTTTCTTTTAAATTTTTATCCTTTCTAAAGTGCTGGTATAAGGTTTGGAAAAGCAACATTTCAATGACATTAACTCAACCTGGGAGTTAATGTCAGTGATTTGGGAACAGCAGCTACTGTCGTAAGAACGAGTAGAGAAATGTTGACACAAGGAAGGGAGACGTGAGAGAAAGCTGGTGAATCTTCCCGCAGTAGGAGCAGTTGACCTTATTTACTCCATGGGCTAGCTCCCTCCAAAATATGGCTGAAACATTTTCACATTTGCCAGAAGAAGTTGAAATACATTGAAAACACTACTCAGTTGAAGTACATTGAAAACACTATTAATTTTTAACTGAGGAATAACCTCAGTCTAAGAAAAAATTATGGCCCTTGAATTCAATTTTATTGTAATGTTGTAAATAGCTTTTCCCCCCAGAGTATTCTTTCCATTTCTGTACTAATGCATACAGAAATACTACATAATTCCCTATTTGAATTGATATATCCTATGAAGTATGTCTTGACTTTGTTTTAAATCTGCTTGGTTGGTTCATGATCAGCTGTATAAGAACTGGGGAGCTTGTTATAAATATTTATTCTTAGACCTTATTCTTGGACTGGGATTCAGCAGGTCAGAAAAGGGGTCCAAACACACATTATAAAATACTGTGAGGATTCTGATAGACTGTTGGATTTCTGTACAGAAAAGGGCATTTTTCTAATTTAAGACACAAGTTCTAGAGTATTATTTATCTACTTCAGAAGTCCAATAAAGACAATTAAATTAGAAAAGGATGCCTATAAACATAAGCAAAGCAAATTGCTTTAACTGCAAGGAGAGAAAGGTAATTTTAGACCTGCTATATATAATCTGTCTGATACCTTCACATTCTTTTCGTTCAGAGGAAGAAACAGTATTTTCCCATCTGAAAGGGTCAGTATAATTATGGTTCTATCTACTGTAAACCCTAAGTAATTATGTAATGTTCCATTATTGTATCTTATTCTGAGCAATTACCAGTCTCTGATCAATAAAAGTTCTTTTTAAGTGTCTGTAAAATGAAACCAAAAAAAGAAAAATCTCATCAGTGTTCAGTTAGAACTAATTATTTTAAATCTTCTGAAAAATATCACAATTACTAAGAATGTATATGTGTGTTCTATTGTTGGACCTGGCATACTGACTTTATTATATGAAATGAGTCACTTTCCATTATTCTTTTCTTTTACTTGCAACAAAAGAGACAAAATTCTTCATGCCTGATCACACTATTAACCAAAGACACTTTGAGGGAAACTATACTTTTATATCATAATTTTAATATATTGTTTTCTCCCTCCCTCCCCTCTCCCCCTTACATACACACACACACACACACACACACACACCCCTTGCTCTAATGAATTCTAAATATGAAAATGTTTATTCATCATGATATAGGAAGTTGACTAATAATCCAAAGAAATTGATCAGTGTTGATTATCACTGTGATGTGTGATCCCACATTTTCTTGAAATGCTGTTTTTAAAAATCTGAAATCAATGGGTAATTGCCCATCTCAAAAAATCTAAGTATTAAGAGAAATCACATCAAAAGAAACAAAAATCATCCAAATACCAGTTTCCCAACACGTCAGAAATATTTCTTTCCCCCTCTTCATTACAGTTCTTTGCCATTGATTACTTTTCATATAGTTATCACATTGTAGATACACATTGTGTATAGATATCACATTGTCTTCTGCCTGTGTTGCCACTTAACCTTTGTTGCATTGTCTTGATGTTACCAGGTAGTTTTCTATTTATTGCAAGTTTCTATATAATATTATGTTGGGTTACTGCATGATTGTACTCTTGGACTTTCAATGTTCTTGAATGTTCACATAGTTTTCAATATCAGAAATTGGAATTTCATTGTTGACAAAACTTGTGCTTCAAATGAGTGAGTGTGTGTGTATTGACCCAGGATCTAGCATATGCTTGATCTGATTAAACTGACCACTTAAACAGGTAAGTTTCTCATGCAACTGAAATATTTATTATGCCTACTTGTGCCTGCAAGGAAACATAGGCTTGGTAAATTTTGTGAAACCTCACCTCAGACTCACTGGTTTTCTATTTGTTATCACATCTTGCTTATGAAACTTCAGTTTGGTTTTCTAACTCATGTGACCAGGCAGCCAGGAACTGAGTACTAGGCTGTGACTGGGTTGCACAGGTAGGTACAGAACTTTAAAGGTCTGTAGAAAATATGGCTCCCTCTTTCTTTCTCTTTAAACATTTACTGTGTTAGTTCAAGGAAATTCCACACAGTTCTGAGTTTTGCTGTGGTGGCTACTGTGTTCCTTTCTTATTTGGAAATATCAAAATATTTTCAAATTTGTTTCCTCTGGGAGCAGGGGATCATCAAACTAAGCAAATATTTCTGCTTTTCTTGTGTAACTAAGCAATTGATAAGTCAATCTGTCTGGGTGTTCATAAAAGATTATTTACACCTCAAAACCCTTAATTATCAACAGCAAGCAAAAATATTGTCTTACCAACTCGTAGCAGCCTGAATTTCCATACTAAATTCCACCATTTTATGTAATATGCATTCTATCGATCAAATGAATTCTATCATGGTAACAGAAAAGCTGCCAACAGAGATGAGAAATCGGACTGACTTAAAAATGTTATGAATTGAGGTCATGATCAATTCAAGGGGATTTTGAAGGAAAACCGCTATTTTGAAGAGCAGACTGTCTGCTGTTAACAAAAGGCTTTCCCCATGCAGTAAGGCCACCGAACGGAAGGTAGTCTTTGTTATTCAGGATGTGATTAATATTGCCTCATCATTTAATTTTAGAACTTCTAAAATAAGGTTGGTTGCATCAGTTTAAGTCACATGGCTTGAAATTCTAATGTCTACTTCTTCTTTTCTTCTAATTATAGAAGTAACACTGTGGATGTGTTACTAAAAGTTTGGAAAATAGTAAACCAAAAGAAGTCTCCCAAGGCATCTTTTCCTGTACCAAAGCCTCTGCTCGTATTTTGTGGCAGTTCCAGTCTTGTTTTACAAGCATGTTTTATGTATAAGCAATTTTATAATCATATTTTATGTATAACTTGAATCTGATTTAATCCATTTAACGTGAGCCCATGTGCTTTCCCCCCTCTGTTTACAATGTTCACGTCAGTTGCCGTTTCTGTACAATGTGCTGACCCCCTGATAGTCCATGCTGTTTCTAGTCATACCCCCTATTGTCAGGCCTCGGGAATGCTTATGTGTCTACGCTGTGTACAACGATGATTGTCAAGGTCCTGTTATTACTGCTTGTACCAGCCATAGAGGTGACCTGATCCTGCTGTGATTGGCCATCCTCAGCCACTACTTTGCATCTGTTTTACTGAATTCTTTTTTACTTGTCTATTTTTTGTTGGGGTGCTGGTTCAGGGGAGCTGGTTGTGATCTATTTCATGGGTGTGTATCTTTGTCTTTCTTTCCTCAGTGGTGAAAGTGGCGCTGGGAAGACAGTGGCTGCCAAATACATCATGGGTTACATCTCCAGGGTGTCTGGAGGAGGCCCCAAAGTCCAGGTGAGTCGTTGGTGGCACATTTTTTTTTTTTAAATAGAGGCATGTTTTATTTATTTATTTTATTTGTTTGTTTGTTTTGTTTATACATGCACTGGGTACAGTCAGAAGCGCGGGAGGGTGAGAGAATTCACCAGGGCCAGAGCGGGGAGCAGAGCAGGCAGAGGGACCGAAGTACACTGCTGAGGGGAGCAGCGGGCGGCAGGAGAGGTCTGCGCGCCATGTGGGACCCTCCTCTGGTGGCCGGGGAGCAGCCGGGGATCAAACCAGCGCCGCAGAGGCCACGGGCAGCTTCGCAACCCAGTGCTCAACCGCTGCACCACTGGGGAGGCCCTGGTGGCACATTTTTGAGACCCTGAGTTATGTGAATGTAAGAGGCTCCATTCTCTGTTAAATTTTTTTTTCTTCCACAAAAATACATTGCTTCTATAGTTAAGAAACTTGAAATCATAAAGAACTCACATGACATGAGATGATGATGTCTATTATATAATGAGCTCTTACAATCAATAAAAAGATTCAAAATCCAAAAGGAAAGTAAAGGGCATGAGAGACAACTTACAAAGAAGGAAATATAGACATGAAAATGTGCCCTTCATAAGACATGAAAATGTGCCCTTCTCATGATAAAGTACTCATTAAAACAACACTGAAATACTATTTCTTGTCATTGGCAAACATTTTATCTTGTTCTAAACAACTCTGGATAAGAATATAGAGATGTAGTTTCTTCATATGGAGCATGAGCTAATATACTTTTATAGTGGCCATTTCAGCAACATCTATATCAAAATTACATGCATACACCCTTGACTCAGCAATTTTGCTTCAAAAAATTCTTTACATGAGTTGTAATGTATACCAAATGACTCAGGTAAAGAGTTGTTTGTGGCTTTTTTTTTTTTTTTGTAACATAATAAACTGGGAAAACTTAAATGTGAAATTTGTGGTTCCTAATGTAATAGAATATTGGACCATGGATTCACGTACTGATGAGACTTCACATATTGATATGGCCTGAATACAAGATACACCATTAATTGCAAAAAAAACAAGGCTGACAACATTTTGTATAACATGCTGCCATCTGAGGTATTAGAAAGAGAATATATATCTGTATTTGGATATATACCTCATATCTGTAGTAGGATACATAAGAAATTGATAGTGATTTCGTCAGGGAGGGAAACTGGGAGGTCACAGTTATGTCACACGCAGCTCAGGGATGGGCTGCGTACACCATGGTGCCTGTAGACGGGGCCATGTATGTAGGTGGAGACCAGGTGTGTAGTGGCTGTACCATCTGGGTTTGTGTCATTATAGTCCCTGACTTCACACAATGAGGTCATTCCCTAACCACACATTTCTAGTAGAGCTCTGTAAATAAATTTTCAATTCTAGAAATTTACAAAAAAAAAAATTCAATAGAGAGAGAAAGAAAAAGAGAGAAGAAGAAAGTTGAAAATGCAAACAGGAAAGGGAAAAGACGCAAAGAATGAGAATGTTGGGGGGAGGGCTGCAGAAAGGGGGAGAATGCAGGGCAGAGAAGAAGCACATGCGAGAGGGTGCCATGAAGATTGGGGGTATGCAGCTGATCTCGCTTTGGTCTGACCCACTGCGGTGTATGGTGTTGACTCCCTTGGTATGTGCCCCCTTCCCAGAGAGTGCTGGCTGATGAGAGTTCAGGGAGGGGGCTTCGTCAAGTCCACGTAGGGCTGCCCAAGCTCATAGTGTGCATGACTGGCATCGACTGCCAGCGACTTTTTTATTAGGAACTCATGCTCCAAGGTGGATTTCACTTGAAAGATTACTTTTTTATTGAAAATCATTTAATAAGTGATGCTATTGCCAGCAAAAGCTGTAGACTTCAGAATGGCACATCACAATTCTCTCTATGGTGGTTTTGTCTACCAGTTAAATAGTGCTCCGTCACCTCTGGGAATCAGAAAGCAAACTAAGGCAAAATCCAGAATTTCTTACACAGGGTAAATGGTCTTAGAATGGCCTCTTTCAATGAGTGAAAGGGAGATCTAGAGCAGCACTGTCCAGTAGAAAGAGGGTACAAATTACTACATGCATATTAAAAATTTCTAGTAGCCACATTTAAAAAAAGAAAAAGAGGCCTATGAAATTCATTTCAAGATGCATCTTATTTCATTCAACATATCTAAAATACTACCTTTTCAGCATATGCAGGACATGTAATACAATATATTAAAAAAATTGGTGAGGCATTTCACATGCTTTTGAGCACCTAGTCTTTGGAATCCAGTGTGTATCCTGCACTTACACATACCTCCATGGGGACAGCAATGTTGCAAGTGCTCAACAGTGACTCGTGGCTCACAGCCTCCATGCTGGATGGTGAGTGCAGTTGAGCTGAAGTTGGTGTTCAGTCCATTTGATTTTCCCCATCCTTGTGATCACGTTCTTCTCCCAGAAGAGCGACGTGGAGATGGGAAGCCAGGGGGCTGTTTTCTGTGTGGACTGCTGCCCCCTAACCTACATTTGCTCATTTTCTTTGCCCCTCTATCTGCTTACTACATGCCACAAAATTCTGTTGGACATCCTGACAGTGGCTAGACTATGCATGCATATAGAGTCTCAGTTTCAAAGTGAATAATTAAAGAAGGGAAGAACCTTGTTTTGTTCCAGCCCTCTGAGAAACTGTAGGTTGATAAATGGCATGGTCATGTTTGGCCACCAAATAAAAGATAAAGCATTAATAAAGATCCACAAAGTCAGAATTCATTTTACAAAGAAAGGAAAGTTTATGTAGACACTTGAGTTTGTAAAGAACAGTAGGAAGCTTGGAAGTATGTTTCTAAGCATCGAAAGTGACCATATGTAAAGACCACCCAGAGTTTTTTCCTTTGTGGCCATGGCTGACGACATGTCCCCAGTTGATGGAATTGTAGTTCTCATCCGCTTTTGAATGTTCAGGAGGGTGCCAAAGGAATGCTTTGGCTGTTACACAGTCAAAGAGTAGTTAGTGCTCTAATCTCGTCCTATTTGTTAGAGACAACCTGGTAGCCAGACTGCAGACGTTTAATGTTGATTTTTCTCTTCCTGTTTTCTTATGAGGACAATAATACAGCACTCTTGGCTTAAAATTAATCAGTAGCTAAAGAGCATAAGCCAAAGCCTTGTTATTTCTGGAACATGCTTAACTACAGAATGTGAATAATTAGAAGTACAAGGAATGAATCACTTGTGGAAAGACCTCTCCAACATCAACTCTGAATTGTCTTGACCGTAGAGTGTTTTGCACACTTGCAGTCTAACACAGAAGGGGGTGTTTGAAAACCAAATTCTTCCCCTCCAGTAAGCCAGAAATTGTTCCAAATGCTGCATTGTCAACCCTTGCTACCCAAAATGTACCTCTATGCTGACAAAACCAATACCAGACAAGTGGTCTACAAACTGTCACTGTTTCAGAACCTCTCCGCTGGTTCTGGGTCTGGCCACCTGTTGCTGCAAATAAAAAGGCCTTTGGTGCGGGAAAAGAGAATATAAACTATTTTGAGCAATTGGGTAGTGGGACGAGGGAGAAGGAGAAGGTTCAGTTACTGATCAGTGGTCTGAGCTACAACCTGCTTCTACTGTGAGGTTGGGGGCTCCCCACAACCTAAGGGAGTTGGGGGGAGGCAGGCATAGGCCTGGCATACGAGCGCTATGAAAAAGAGTGAGCCCAAGTGCTTCACTCCTTATTAAAGCCTCCCCAAATGGCGGCTTTGCTCTGCCCCTTTCGGAGTAGCTCCCTCATTCAGGATGTCATGATCCCTCCAGGCTTGGGTGGTGGATGTCAGGGCAGTGGAACTCATCCCATTTGTGACCAGTCCTCTGTACCCAAGTTGGCAGGTCAGGAGGTCCCGCTGGACCATGAGGGCCCAGGGCTGAGCTGCCCTTTCTGTCCCAGCAAAACCAGCAGCACCAGGAAATTGGTTAGAAAGACAGACCCTCAGGCCTCCCCTCAGGCCTCCTGAATCTGCAGCTGTATTTAACAAGATGTTTCAGACACATTTAAGTTTGGGAAGCGTAGGACTTGTGTCCACAGCCTTGTTGGACAAGGAGAACTGTTTTATTTCCCCTTAGGATCACCGTAAGTGAAGAGGGTGGAGGTGGGGATGGGATAGTTGGGTAGAGAAGGGGCATCGATAGTAAAGAGGTGCTGCTTCCTGCTTCGCCTTGCTGCTGTGATTCCTAGCACACCTGGGAGTGCAGAGTAAAGCTCTAGCATCCAGTCTGGGGATAGTTGTAGTCTTTTTTACATTGGCTCCAGGAATCCTGCACTAAGTCAAGGAAGTTGGAAGACAGAAACTCACAAAAAAAGAAAAAGTCCTCCAGACACCCCAGAGACACAGGCATTTGGGTCTGTGACCCTGCGCATTCAGAAACCAGGTCCTCAGGGAAAGTTTGGCTTTGCGCTGTGTGGCGGGTACTTGCACCTTTCTAATTTCTGTTCTCTTTGCTGTGACAGCACGTCAAGGACATCATCCTGCAGTCCAACCCACTGCTGGAAGCCTTTGGGAATGCCAAAACTGTCCGAAACAACAACTCCAGCAGATTTGTAAGTCTCTCCCCTCTTTCAAAGAATGTCACCAGATGGATGCTGCTGACATGCATTATTTCTGCTGTCAGCTCACTGTGCCCCAGGAAATGGGGAGCTTTTCATGTATTGCTAGGAGGCTACCTTTTCAATCTTATCGTCCTTTTCTAGACCAGCATGAAGTCAGGCTTCAATTTGCCCTTTGAAGTTATTTTTGAGCCTCATCGATGTAAATAAGATATTTTTGAAAACGCTCGCAATTTGAGTTGCCTTACGAAGGAAAAGAAAATTTGATAGAATTGTCAACCTCGGTCCTGGAGGAGTTTGCTTTGTGCTCTGGAGAAAAGACCTTCTTTTCTGGACAAGAAAATGAGTAGACTGATCCTGGGTCTTTCCGTCTTGCTTGTGCTTCCTACAACTTGGTCTGTGGACACTTGAAGGGAGCACACACTTTGATCCAGCAAGTTGGAGAGAACCTTTCTCCTCTCTGCCAGCCAGAGTCAACTAACTACACCCCCCCACACACACACACACACAGCTCCCCCCTCTCCATGCATAGCTTTGTGTATGTGTTTTATTTGTATTCATATAACAACAACATCTAAAAGTGACTGGACTTAGCCTGCCAGATTGCCTTCTAACTGGCCCACTTCCCAAGGTAATAAAAATGTCAGCCGAATGCATTGTCATGAATGTCCATTTAGACTTACTTTCTGTCTGAGTGTCTCCTGAGGGGATACATTGGAAAACTGGCAAGGATGAATATGAACATATTCCCCTTGACAAAAATCCACATTATCAAGGAAATGAGCATTTGTCCAATAACTTTGATTTAGATATATCTTGCATCTTATCTCAACCATAGATTGTCTGGCAATAAAGTAGTCACAGAGCCATCTGTGAGACTGATTCTGGATTATTTTAAAATAATTAAGTGGGAAGTTTGGAGAAAAATATTTTTTCACCCTTTTATATTGGAAGGAAGCTTCTATTTCTAAAAGAATTCTTACGAAGTTCTCATACAGTAATTGTCAAGTTCCCTGGTGAGTTATAACTGTAGAATTGCCCTTGCCTTCCTTACTATACAGTATTATTCAAGCTATTTACTCATTTGTTCATCTTTCATTTTCTTTGCTTAGTGCCTGGGCTGTGTTATCTTAAAAGAAGCTTCTAGATAACTATACAGGAAAGAAGAGGTGCATTTTCCACTTGTTCTTTCTTTTTATTTCCCATTTTGTCCATCTAAATCTGCCTTGTAAAAATGAACTTGACTAAATTTACCTCTCTAGCTGGCCACCTTTCCCTTTAGAGAGCAGAAAAAATGAAATTAATGTTTATATTAGTCAGTGTTTTAAAAGAATGAAACAAAAACACCAGGCATTCATTATTTTTCTGATCACAGAATTTTATACAATCCTGATGAAAAGATGAAGAAGAGTAGAACTGGGTAATTGACACAATTACACAAAGACAGTATCTGATGAGGCATCAAAAGATATTCTCACTAAAATGAGAGAAACGTGTATTAAAACCATCTATCATCCTCTCTCTCAGATGGGCAATCAAAGAAATTAATAACACCAGAGAAAAGATACTATTGACTGAAGACTAACACATCCCTCAGGAGAGCAATTTGGCAATTTTTATTAAAATGTGAAATACTCATTTTCTTTAACTCAACAATACATTTAGAATAAAGTATCTAAGTTTCCAGTGAATCATGACTTTAAAAAAGAAATCCATAATATGTTGTCAAAAATTTTTTTTAAAGTTAAAGGCACTATATTTACGAGATGGTCCCAATTTTGTTTTTAAATGCATAGTTACAATGTCTGCACATCAAAGTTATAATATACTATAACATACTGTTATAATATACCATAACAGTGATTATTTAATAGAAGGTAAAAGCGATATCAGAGTGGAATTATGGATAATTTCACTTTAAATAATGTATGGTAATATGAATCATAAAAAGTCATTTCTACCTTTGAATCTTTTTAAGCTTTAGCAAATACTACGAACTATTTCAGATGCTACTTAAAGCCAATTCAGTGAATACTAGCATACTCAGGTACTTAAGATAGTACCTAGCTTACGAAATGAAACATTATAAGACTCAGTTTCTTTCTGTTTAATTATGAAAATGCAACATTGTATTTTTATAAAACCTTGTATCTTTGTAAAACTTCCACTTTACCCCCAAGACCACTCTGCAACAAAATTAAACTTGTTGCTGTCTAGGAGTTTTAACTTTTGTATAATGATTTTGAAAAGTGTAAATATCTTTCCTCCATTACAGCAGTGATCTTAACCTGGGCTACATATAAATAGCACCCACACCTTTAAAAACCTCTTGATCTGGGCACCAGCCCTAAAGTCTCTGATTTACTTGTCTAGGGTAGCTCTGGCCACCAGCTTTCTGGACAGGCTCCCAAGCAGCCAAGATGACCAACATTGCTGGAAGGACTTGAGAATTTGCCTCTTACTCTTACTGCCTCTGCCCTTCCTGGATTTGCTGTCCTGTTGGTTTTATTCCCACCCCAGACTGGTGGGGAATTTGGGTTGAGAGGAGACTTGGGTCGACACAGAACTACTCCCTCTAGAACATTCCAAAAGGAAAAGATGGTACAGTATTGGCTCCATCAGGAAGTACAGAGTTGTTTAGCAATATTTTTTAGGAACCACTATAATTCAGGATAGCTGGTTTCTAACCTTCTCTGTATCTGGTGCTTCTGAGTGTTTGTTTGGGGCTTCTTTTGGGGGTGGGGAGGGGGTAGGAGTCATTAGATTAAGGACAATTAGATGGTGGTCTTCTTCTGTAGCCTTTTTCACACCTGGAATGAGCAAGTTACTTGACCAGAACACAGTTTCTACTGGGTGCGTGGGGAATGTGAAAAACACAGCAGTGTGCCTTTTTTGTTCCTCCTGAGTTTATGGTTTTAGTTCTAGACTTGAGGGCCCTACAGCATTCAGTCCTGATAAGGGAAGATTTTGTCAGGTGTAAATTTTTTTAAATATCAAATGTGATTACTGTTGGACTGGGCTTGCCCTCCAGTTTGACCCCAGGCCACAGCACTCCCTGCTGCTCACATTTCCATCTCTACATTCTCCCCTTTTCCTTTATTTAATTTTACCCTCCTTTACCCTGAGGGCACTTAAAACTTCTGAGAATTGTAGAGAAACTAGAATCTGGTGAGGAAAAAAATGATATTTACTTCAATCTGGACACCATTATCAGCTAAATTCCAGGGTTTCATTCTTCTTTGTTCCCTATTAGCTGTAATTGAAAAGGATATGTTAACAGCAGCAGTAGCAAAAACCCTACATCCACAGCTAGGTGAAAAGAGCTTTATAATCAAGTGGCTTGTTTTAATTTTATGCAAGCATTTTAGATGCACCAGAAGTTAAAGGGACTGCTTTTGCCCAAGCCATTAAAAATAAGTCTGTTGGGGAAAAATTACTTCCTCTGAAAGTCTGGTAAGAGTTCTCACTTGTTACATCAGGGGGCCAGATCCTGTGATTTTCTGTTTTGTTCTCCACATCTTCTGGTTTAGCGGGCAAGCACTGATGGGAAATGCACAGGAATATAATATACCCTTATTTAGTTGGACCAGCATGGTGGATTCTCTCTCATTACAGAATTGTGTGATTGGACAAAAGCCTGGCTTATTTATTGTCTGATACAAAAGAATAAGGAAGTCCAGGCCAGGACTGGGAATAATTACGAATGTATTTTTCATTAATGAATTTCCTTGAATTATATATTATATCCAGAGCCTGTTTGGAACATCATGTGTTTATTCACCAGCCATTGAAGGAAATGCCTAACTTTCTTACAGGGAAAATACTTTGAAATCCAGTTCAGTCCAGGTGGGGAACCAGATGGTGGAAAGATCTCCAACTTCCTTCTAGAAAAATCTCGGGTGGTCATGAGGAATCCTGGAGAGCGGAGTTTTCACATATTTTACCAGGTTTGCATTTATATATTTTTCTTTCCTACTTCCTTATCTCTTCTCTACAAGAAAAAGTTGTTTTCTCTCAGCTTGCAGGTTTAGACAATCTAATCTGGCAAATCAGGGAGTATTTATATGAGTATGTCAGTGTACAAAAGAATTATGAGAATGTCCCTTCCCACAAAGAGAATAAGTTCTAGTTGGGGTGAGAAGACAAAATCTTTGCAAAAGATAAATAGCCAAGCAAATGTGAAATAGCTTCACAACAAAAGTAGGAGTATTTGATTCTTTGTCAAATAGGACTTCACATGGGGAGATTTGGCAGAGATGGTCGGGAGAGGTGCTAATATGGTGAGGCGAGATGGTAGGGAGGGGCAGAGTAAAATGGTAAGTCAGATGGCCTGAACAAGACAGTGGAGGTGGGAGAGCAAAGAGCTAGTCAGTGAGGCGGGCCTCAATCAGTTTAGAAGGACAGAAGTCCCCCAAAATGAACTGTTGAATGAAAGACTCAAAATAGACTTGGAATCTTTAATGACAGATTGTAGAGTCTTGACTTACTTGGCATCTCTGTAGCGTTTGAGGCTACAGCAGTGTGCCGGCTGCTTTTAAGTTCTATTCCAGGCTTCAGTGACAGTCAGGTTTGACTTTTTTTAAATACTTAAAAAATGATGCCATAAACAATTTTTTTTTTTATGTTTGGGTTTCCATACATGTATATCCTATATTTGGACTCCATATTAGATGTCCTTTGAAGAAAGACTTACAAGTGTTTTTTGTTTTAGTTCTGTTTTGTTATAGTTTAATGAACACTGGATTTTGAAGAATTTAAATTGTATAGGTAGTGCACATAGATTGTTTTCAATTATGTAGGCAGTTTAGTGATGGCACATAATTCTTGTCAGTACCTATTGGTTGGGAGAATACAGATAGGACCAAAAGCTTGCGTGAATGCAGTGATGACTTTCATTGTATCAATCAAAGAAACGTGTAGATTATGATGAATAATTTTGCATATCATATGGATAGTATTTTATTGATTGAGCATAGACAGAAGCTCACAATCATTTCCAGGACCCCTTTTAATAAAGACCAGCCTCACTCCTATCCAGAAGTCCGGAAGTCTGATAAGATAGCTCTTCTGGCTACCACCCTGTGGCTGAATCCAGCAGCCCTGTGTTGGTCTCCAGACCTCTGCTCCATCCCTTCTCCCAAGAGCCTAGAGCTTCTATTCTGCCACTTGGAAGGTTGAGAATCACCAGAGTAGGCTCTGGGGAAGTGATGGGCCCAGAAAGAAGGAGTTCAGGCCTCTTCATAAAATAATAGTCATAAAAGCTGAGAAGTAGTTGAGACTCCTGTGAGAGTGGAGAGAAAAATAGTGCCTCTACAGACTTGGGGAGCTGGGGACTATCTGGAAGATGAGGCGGCATTGAGGAACCTTGGAAGTCCTTGGAGGAGGAAATCCAGGATCCTGTGGGGAAGCTCAGGGTAGGGCAAGTGGCAGGATGGACGCTCTAGGCTCTTGAAGGAAGGGATGGAGTAGGGTCTGGGGACCAACACAGGGCTGGTGGTTTTAGCCACTGGGAAGTAGCCAGAAGAGTCATCTTATCTCATGGTGCGGGGATGCAGCCAGAATGCAAATGCAGAGGCTAAGCTGATGAGGAAGTTTGCTTGAAGAAGTTTGCAAAGTCAAGGCAAAGCTTCTTAAGAAGGCAATGAACAGTATGTTTGTATATAGAAAAGTTAGAGAAAGCGGGCATTGACAATGGAAATGACGGAGTGGGGGCACTACTACATGAGATAGGTGGGGAGAAGGCTAAGAAAGAGGGGAGAAAAGTTCTTCCTAGACCACACACACACCCAATAACAACAACAAAAGGGAAAATAGGAAGGGGGTGGTACAAAAAGATTTGAGGAAAAAAAGAAGAAAACCAAGGGAAGTTGATGTCATGGGATGACCTAGACTTTCTGTAATGGAAATGAGCCCCCCCTTTTGCGGGGCTGTGGAGCCAAGATGATTCGAGGAACTTGGCCAAGATGGAGAAGAGGAACTAGAGCAATCACTGTTTTCTTAAATCCTGCCGGGTTGGAGCCTGTGTTGAGCAAGAGCTAGCTCGCATGGGCTGTGTGCATCGGCCCATCAGTTGTGTTTTCTTGCTAATCCCAAATCAGTCATAGTAGGAGTATTTACACCACAAAACTCAGCAAACCCTACAGATCCATGCCCCCCGCCGCCAGAAGTGATTAACATTTTCCAGCATTCCACCGCTGGAAGTCCCTTAAGAGGGCCTTGCTCAGAAGTTAGGCAAATATCAGTGACAGACAGATGGCACTTTGGTTAGGAGGTTTCAGGACACTGGAGCACGGGCCTCCTGCTTTGAGATGCATGGTGGGCCAGGAACACTTTAAGCAGCTGTAAATTGACCAGGAACTAGGTAGCCATAGCCTGGTTTTCTGCTCTTCCCAGGGATCTCCCTCTGTAACACTGTGGTGCCCTGTTGGAACTAGGGAGATTCTCAGTCCTTACAGATCTTCTCAGCATCCAGAACCAGAATTTGCAGGGATGACTTGGCTACTTACAAATAGAGCAGATATCCTGAAGCCTCTTCATATTTTGGAGACGGGGACCACTGATCATTTCAGAAAGCAGGCATAGACTATCCCATCACCTGGTTTTTGTTTGGGGTGGGGGAGGTGGGGTGGTGAGAACCCCTAAGGGCCTGCTTTGTGGTCCGCATTCTGCATTCTTTCACTCTACCCAGCTCATCGAGGGCGCCTCTGCGGAGCAGAAGCACAGCCTTGGCATCACCAGCATGGACTATTATTACTACCTGAGCCTCTCCGGGTCCTACAAGGTAGATGACATCGATGACAGACGGGACTTTCAGGAAACACTGGTAAGTGCTGGCGCAGGGCCCGGACCAGAACTGCTCTCCAGACTGGGTGTTGCCTGTGGTAGGAAGGGCAGGGAAGGCCAACAAAACCAAGAGCAGTGTGAAATTCCCACCTCATTCTGCTGAAACACTCCATTTCACAAAACACGTTTCAACACCCTTGAGTGGCTATGTGGCCAGTGTCCTGAGGACCACTTCCTGATTTGAGATGGGTAAAAAAGTGAATTCATCATTACCGCCTGTAGTAGTGCCTATTAACTGGTAACAACAATTGTGGGTAATACATTTACCAGATCTGTTTGCAGATTGCTTGCACAATTGTTGAACTGTTTCCTTAGGAAGGCAAAGCAAAGAGCATTCTAAGGCTCTCCATCTGATTTAGCAGTTTTAGAACACCTTCGGTCTTTTTCTGCTCTCTCTCTTCACCTCTGCGCTATACAGGTGACAGGGTGAGCCTCTGCCCCGGGCTTTCCACACTGTCTGTAAGTTATGGGACAAGGTGTGAAGGCAGGTAGATTCTTCAAGCATCACATTCTGGGGGAAACAACTTAATAGACAATCTGGAGCTTTCCAAGATGGGCTGGTGACCTCTTTACTCCCCAGGAACTGTGTCACCACTGCCCTTCGAGTCAGCAACCAGCCCCCACTGGAAAACCCTGAATGGGCATTTGGAGATACAATTTGAAGAAAACCAACCTTTGTTCCGGAAAGGGACAGGATGTTTAAATAGACTGTATCCTGGGTGTCAGGAAAAAGGAAGATATCATGAGGTCATATGACCTCAAAGGAGCTGGGAGGAAAATACAGCTAAGGGGACTGTGTAGGCCCCAGCATTACAGTTCTCTTAGGATATGGCTGACAAATACTGGGGCATCTCAGCTGTCTTTTAACCAAGATTTTTAAAATGATGTTTGTATTAGATATCCTGGTGATTTTAAATCAAGATCCTTCGGCAAGTGCGATCTGTACTAAGCCCACCCCCACCCCCAATGAAGGGGAAGATCAATCTCTGGGGACCCAAAGAGGGGATACCAGCTCCCTGAGAAGATAGGGGTGGCAACAAGAGCACATTAAGGGACAAGGACAGACTCTAGGAAGTTGTTGCTCCCAGTAACTCCCCTGAGAAATCTCTTTCCCCTGGGAACTCTCTGGCCCTCATTCCAGGATGAGTCCTGCTGTGTTTGAAGACGAGCTACCCTTTCAGCAGGACTGTGACGCAAGAATCATATCATTGGCCAGTGATGTCACCATGCAGGGGCTTCCAGGCACTGTCACAAAATAAGCCACACACCGCATGACCCGACCTAAGCTTTGGCTTCTTTATTATGTGCTTAGAAAGCTGGTGACCCACTTGTCTCCGTAATTTCTCTTCCCTTCCAGCATGCCATGAATGTTATCGGGATCTTTGCGGAAGAGCAAACCCTGGTGCTGCAGATAGTGGCGGGAGTTCTCCACCTGGGAAACATCAGCTTCAAAGAAGTCGGGAATTATGCGGCCGTGGAGAGTGAAGAGTGTGAGTAGCTTTGGCATATAATTGTTGAGTGAGGGAAACGAGCGTCTAGCTATGAGCACTTTCCTTTGCATAGATCTCCACTGGGGTGTTTTAGGAAGAGACCAGAAATCTTCCATGTCTTGCTGTGGCAGAGCATTGTGGTCTCGTGAGAGTCTAGGCCTCTTCTGTGCACCTGCCTTTCCTGCCTACATCCCCAAATCACGAGCAATTAAGGAAATTATTTCAGTTTCTCTTTAAACCTTGGGGAAGACTGGCAGAATTTTTACATTTAGGTTTAAAAATAAAGTCACATCTTTAATGAAGATTAGAGTAATAGCTAAATAATTCAAAAGTACTGTTTCCTACTGAAAATCTTTTCAATAACTGATCTTGACAGTCTGTATTCACCTGAAGGCCCTAAAGCGCCAGTGATCAGATCTATGTCAATACAGAAAGCTCACAGTAGATTTGATTTTATAAGCAGCATAAAAATGGATTTTGATATTGTATTGATTTGGTCACCTTTACATTATTATTATTATTATTATTATTGTTTATTATGTTATTATATTATTGTTATAAAGCATTATATCATAGTAGTGGTCATCTCTATAATAACCAGAGGTAGTAGACCTAGATGATCATTTTTACCCTTGGAGATGAACGCAGGTATTTCTGCAGAGATGCGTTACTGGCTTTGCATGCCTATGGTCTACCACAAACTGTGGCGAGGAACTGTAGCCTCTTAGCCATCTGACGGCTTTCCAGGCTGCTTTCAGAACCCACACATCCTTTAACCACCCAGGAAGACATTTCTTCCTTTCTCAGCATTCTTCAAGGAGATAAATTTAGATCTTAGTAATAAATAGTATCCCACTCATTGCTGACAACGCAATGAGGCTATTTCCATTCCAAATAAGGTTCTTTTTTATATTTTTGTTTTCTTTTGTGATAAAAGAGGGAAGTTGTGCTAACTTCAGATGTCTATCTGCTATAGAGATAAATGAATTATATTTACTGGGGAAGGGAGTGAGACAGAAATAACAATATACAGGGTGTGTAGAAATATCACCTAATAATTATAACTATGTTTTTAGGCTTTATGTACATTATCGTCCACATAACAAGCACTGTGTTCAGGAGGTCACAGTAACAGTTTGCATTTTTCTTGATAGTTTCTGTGGAAGCACACTGGATTTCTCTTGTCTTAGATAGTACAATCCTTTATTGCCTCTTTATACTGAAAAACACAGTCGTGACACTGATATAGCAAGCATTCCCCTGGAGGCTTTAGCCAAGAAGAGCTTGGTTGCACTGTAACATCCTGACAAATAGCCTCTCAGCCAGCTGGGTAATACCCAGGATTGGCAGTTGCCTGTGAAGTTCCTGGATTTGAAGGGGTAGAGGAATGGCAATCAAGAAAGCCTGCTCTTACAGTCAGAGAAGTCTGATAAGTGTCCTCCCAAAACAGTGTTCCGTTCTGTCAGTAATGCCTTAAATAATCTGATTAACATGGGTATGCAGTGAAAGTTCTCCCATCTACCCCTTTCCAGTCAACTTTCCAGAGTGAACCAAAGTTTCTAGTCTCTTATATTCCTTTCAGGAGTTGTGTGTTCCAGAGCTACTTGACACATATGCATTCTTTTTCTTCATTTTTATGCATCAATTGGAGCATATTATGATGTTTTATCCTTGCTTTTTTGCTTAACGGTATATCTTGGAGTTTATCCTGTGTCCTTTCGCTAAGGAGCTTCATACTTTGTATAACTGCATAAATTTTCATGGAGTTGTCTATAATTATTGAACCAAATTTGGATTTTGTTTTGCTACCTGTTTCCAGTTTCTTTGTCTTATCTACATTTCAGATTTAAACAGGAAAATCAAGTCCAGTTCTGCTTTACACTTTAATGCAGTAGTAGAAATCTACCTTCATTGTGAAAATGTACAGAAACTTGATGTTACAATAGATTTTTTTTTGTTCTCCCTAGCCCTGATAAACTAGACCAGTTACATAGCATATTTAAATTACTCAATGTCTCCTCCCTTCCCCCAGCCTCCAAGCTTCCTTACTGCCCACTTGCACACACCCTTATGGAAATTCACAGCTTGGAGGAAGTCAGTGTGAGCAGTCCTGTCATTCAGTACTAAGGCAGCCACTGAAGGAAATACAAGGCCATAAAAACTTGCGCTTGGAAAACACGGCATGGAATATTTTCAAAGCAAGTCTTGATTTCCGCTCTAGACCTCTTAGCTGTTTCCCTAAGCTGGCAAATGATTCTTGGCCCAATCCCATTCTTTATTTTTCGGGTGGCTGTGGTCCTTCTCTTGTGTGCTCTTGAGGTAGATGACACATGGAAGAATAGAGTACTTCTTTGCCATCTCTTCTATTTCATCTCAAGCACGCTTTTCTTAGCCCATATTACTGTCGTTCTTGAGCTATGGTCCTAAAGACAATGGCATAAATATTTTTACCAAATATTTTAATCCTGTCCCTATTGTAGCATGTTAGGGAGAAGACCATATTTACAAAACTGATAAATTGAGGCTAATTACTTGTATCAAACTATTCGCTGTGAAGTTACCATGACTACTGATGGGCGCTGGTGAACTGACTGTAGATCGCCCACTGTATCAAGTGAGGGATGCGTTTCCCTACCTGTCTGCCTGGGGATGGTGCTCATAACCAACATTATGGCTTCCCCCTAGTGATGGCCTCTTCTGTGTCAGAAACTTGGTTAATGTGTCAAGACTCACAACAACCCGGTGTGTGTCTAACCCTGTGATTTATGCTCTGTATAAAGGCAAGTTTTAGTTTATTGCAAGACACATCCAGATTCCTAAATATATGTGTTAACATTAAAACTAAACTAAAGGAAATGGTCACTGGGAAATCTGTGATTTACCATTGGTTGTATTGACATGCTCTTTGTGAAAGGAAGCCATTCTGTGGCTTAGAGCATTTCTGTGAAACAGTCATACAGATAAAGAATACCTTGTTCTGACACTCTACTTTTTCAAAATATGTTCACTGACTTAATGTCACTGGAAGGTATATACCGAGAAATGTCATTGCATTCTAACACCATCTGTGAAACTGAAACAGATTACTCCTTATTGGGAGTCTTGTGATTTTTAAGCATTATCCAGAGGACTTTAACATTATCCTTTTATCAGAAAATTTTAATAAAGCTTTATGCGGAGAAAGAAGACTGATATTCAAGTTCAGGAGTTTGATTGGTATTCATAAAAATCTTTTATTCATAATTGGAAAAATCCAAGCTTTCGTTCATGCCCAATGATGGCCTTGTTTATTCACCTTAGACTGTTCTTACTAGATAATCCATTTGTGTTGCCAGCCCTCCTGGTGAGTTTTGTGACCTGAAATGAGTTGCTGAGCCTGGGGCCCTCTGCTTTTCTCTCCGTAGACCATAAATGATGCCACTACTTGTTCTTACAGTGGGGCAGGCAGGCCTGATCCTCTCCATTTCACTCCCTGCATCACCCCTGGAGAAATTCTGGAGAAATTTTATAATGCCCCTTCCAAAGCCATCCAGACCCCTGTACCTTCAGCCCCAATACACCAGCTCTTCCATCAGGGTTTTCATTGTCACCTTAACTTTCAGCTGTAGCCAGTGCTGGCCTACTCACTGTTCTCGAGCAGCGGCCTGATTCCTCATCTTTGCCCATTCTGTTCCTCACCATTAGCCCTTCTTTCTCCTCTGCATCTGTACAAATCCTGTTTATCCTTTCGGCCCCACTGAAATCCCACCTCTTTCCCCAGCAAGTAGTGATATCTTCCTGTTCTAAATTCCCTCCAATTCTATTGTCCAGGTCATATAGTTGACCTCTGTGTTTGCTAAGCTCTATTTGCTTCATCTAGATACTGTCTCCAGGGTTCCTTGTGTCCTGTCCTCTCATTTTAGAAACAGTACACATAATAGGCACTCAATACATATGTGAGTTTGGTTGTAATTATTAACTCAGGGATATCGAGTGCTTAAAGTTCTTTGGGAATGGTGCTGTGAAAACACTGTACCAGAAAGGAAGAAAACACTATTTGGAGCCAAAGAAATGTTTCTTGATTTAGTTCCTTCCGGGCTGTCTTGCTGCAAGCTTGGAGAGATGTCCATTTTAGGCATTTAGCTGTGATCTCAGTAGGAGGGATTGGTTTGCCATCCTTCTTGGATCACTGATTTGTGTTATTTGAAGTCTCAGTCATCATCGGAATTGACTCATATAATAGAACAATTGGGAAAAACAAAGTGGATGGGTGTGTGGGGGATTGCTGATAAGCAATCTTCACTGGAATGAGAAATCTTGGGGCCTAATCATGGAGTCTTATATGTACACCTGCGCACACAGGTGCCTTCACGTGTTTGTGAGATGAATTGTTAAGTTTATGACAGATAAACATGTTTTGTTTTGTTTTCTATAGTTTTGGCTTTTCCTGCCTATCTCTTGGGGATTAACCAGGACCGGTTGAAAGAAAAGCTTACCAGCCGGCAGATGGATAGCAAGTGGGGAGGCAAGTCAGAGTCCATCCACGTGACCCTCAATGTGGAGCAAGCCTGTTACACCAGGGACGCCCTCGCCAAGGCCCTGCATGCCCGGGTCTTTGATTTCTTGGTAGATGTAAGTAAATACAGGTTGACATTTGTAATGCTTTATAGTTTAACTATAAAGAGTAAAGTTACTGAAGGTTTTGTTTTCACATTTGGCTCATTCTTTATAACCATAATCTTACTCCCTCACTTTTTATGGTTTCACTCTTGGATCATTGAATCAATCCTGCTTTTACTTCTAGAATTTTCCACTAAAAATTCTTTAAGTGGAAATTCTTTCCATTAACTAAAGCTAATATGGTAACAGCTTCTTTGTGGAAAAAATATTTAGTCAAGCCAGACTACTGACCAGCAAGAGGAAACCCGTGAGCATGAACCTTTCTTGACTTTTGAGCTGAAAGGTTTAGGAGTGTCATTTTTGTGATCTATTATGTGTTATATATTAACCCAAAACTTAGTGATTTAAAGCAATAAGCACTTAATTCTCTCCCAGTTTCTGTGGGCCAGCTTTTGAGAAGTGACTTAGCTGGTGATTCTAACAATATTGCGGCTGAGGTGCTACAGTCATCCCCAGGCTTGGCCGAGGGGATGACTTTCCCAAGACCTCGCACTTACATGACTGTTGCCATGATACTCCATTCTTCGCTATTTATGCTGCTTTTAGCTGATTGAATGTCCAAACAACATGGTATTTGCTTTCCCTAGAGTGAGTGATCTAAGAGCAAGGAAAAAGCTACCAAGCTTTTAATGTCCTAATCTTGGACTAGGTATTGTCACTCTGACATATTCCTTTCATGAAAAGCAAGTCATTAAGTATAGCTCACACTGAAAGGTAAGAGAATTAGTTTCCACCTTTTGAAGAGAGGAGTTCAAAGCGTTTGTGGATATATTTTGAACTATCTTACTTTTTTTGGATGGCATAGCCATATATATATACGTATACATATATACACTTCTATTTGTATGCATATTTATATAAAAGTGTATATACACATATATACACTTTTATATAAATATGCATACAAATGCATATTTATGTATATATACCACATATAGATTCTGAAAATGAGTCTTCCAGTGGGTAGAATTGCCTGTGACAGTCTACTTAACATAGCCTCTGAGCGGTAGAATAATAATAGCAAACACATATATAGCTTTTACTATGTGCCAGATACTGTTCAAAGCATTCTAGAAAAAAATAACTCAATTCTTACAACAGCCCTGTGACTTAGATATAATTATCTCTGCAGATAAGTTAATTAAGGCACAGAGAAGGTTTCTGATCCAAGGTCACACAACCTTGGATTAAGATAGATTAAGAGATTAATTAAGAGATAGATTAAGAGATAGATTAACCCAGGTAATTTGAGATAGATTAACCCAGGTAATTTGCCATAACTCCTAGCTATTGTCCTTCATTTTTTTTATATTCAAGTTAGAAATAACCCTAGGGGGCCCCTAGTCAATGGGTAACAGGATGGCCATTAGATCCAAAAAGTTTGAATCTAGGCAACAACTAGGAGTCTTCAGGATTGGTTAGGTCTGGCTAGGGTAGGAAGGGCAGGGTGGGGTAATTCTATTTACTTTTTGTGACTTTTTTGAAGATGAGATTGCTTGGGAAGTTCAGGGTCACACTGAACGATAGTGAGGCTTTCAGCTTGTCCACCCCTTGTTTTACTGATAAGGGAATCCTGACCTCGTTATTGGTGGGTTTGCCCACCACCAATTAGAAAGGGGGTTGTGCAGAGCTGGGACTAGATCTCACATATTTCTCTTTGTTCAGTGTACCTTCCAGCTCCTTCCACATTATTTCTTTTCTGTTTTCCCTCTGGTTTTTTTTTTTTTGTTGTTGTTGTTAACATTGTAAAAGGGATGGATGCCTTGTGAAGGTGATAAGTGTCAACAGAGCTGACATTTATCAGGCACTTAACTAAGTGCTATGTACCATTATTCATATGTTATTTTCTTTGCTTTGAAAATACCTCTGGTATTTCAAAATTCTTTCAGGTACTACCACCTCTAGGAATTTTTCTCTTTAATTCCTCACCCTGCTGCAGCCCCCCATAATCCACTCTAACACACACCTACCCTACAGACATTAATTCTATTCCATTGAATTGCACATCTCAGAGCGATCAGAACACAGATCCAGGCATCATACTACTTAAATTTAATCCCAAGCTCTGCCTCTTACCAGTTTGGTCTTAAGGATTATGTTATCACTCTTATGTGAGGATTATAATGTGAATTAAATGAAATAGCACATTTCTTAGCAAAGTCTTGACAGATGTTAAATATATTAAGCTGCTTTTATTATTATCACTTTAATTGTAATTCCTGGCACCAATATCCATAGTTGGCTAACCTACTCTATAAGCTCCTGAGAACAGAGACTGTCCTCTCTTTGACGTCAGTGGCATATTGCGTTAGGTGATCATTGCATTGGGCAAAGGGAATATTTACAGATCTTGTAATGTTGGTTCTTTATATTGCCAAAAACCAGGTTTTACTTCTCTCATAGTTTTCAAAACTCCCTGGAAAAAAAAAAAAAAAAAAACCCCAACTAATTCTGACTTATATTAATGGCTTTCATCACTAAGCAAAAAAAACAAATTTTTTTACCATAGCTCCACATGGTTTCCCAAAGTTAGGTTACACTGAGACTGTATTTTTTTTTAAAGATTTATTTATTTATGCATACAAGAACTGGGGTACAGGCCAGAGTTTTGGGGGATGACAGGACTCACTAGAGACAGAGCAGGGAACAGAATAGGCAGATCGACCAAAATACACTGCTGAGGGGAGCAGCAGGTGAGTCAGGAGAGGTCTGCTGCACCATGTGGGTCACCTCCCTGGCCGGGGATCAAACTTATGCTGCAGTGGCTGCGGTGAGCTTCATAGGTTGCATCTCAACTACTTGCCCCACCAGGGAGGCCCCAACACAGAGACTGTGTTTAAATGGCAATTCACCTGTCTCCTTGGCCTGTCTCTAATAGGCAGTAGTATTTGCCGTGCTCAATCTTGCTTCACTTTCCTCCTTATACGTTCATTTACAGTATGAAAGGAAAGGAATTAATTACCTTACTCTTTATTTTCTCCTAGTCCATCAACAAAGCAATGGAGAAGGATCATGAAGAATACAACATCGGTGTCCTGGATATCTATGGCTTTGAAATATTCCAGGTAAGAATAATTGGAGACTGGGCAGAGTAATACATTTCATCTGACTTGAAAGAAGTAATTCTAAGTACTGAAAAATAGGCAAGATGGCTCATTTTTGTCCTTGTGAGTTCTTCATGTACCTTTACCAAATTAGATTCTCCTAAATGTAAACTAGGCTGCTTTTTACTGATGCCTCCAACATGTCTCTTAAGGCTTTTCACATTGAAACATTTCACTAAATCACTCAAGAAATAACTTTAACACAATTTTGCAGAAAGAATTACATGCAAATAACTTTTTCTTTCAGAAAAACGGCTTTGAACAGTTTTGCATCAATTTTGTTAATGAAAAATTACAGCAGATTTTTATTGAACTGACATTAAAAGCAGAACAGGTAAGGAGTCCCTCTTCCTTCATTGTGTTCTACTTATAATTTGTTTGAACAGTATAGATTTCCCTCTTTCAGTAATAGATTCACGTTTTAGTTTCATTAAAAAATGTATTTTAAAAAGTCAACCAGAAAGACCATATGCCCTTGTGACATTTTAGTCTATAAGATTATGTATATCATCTGCATTTTCTTTTTTCCTTTAAGCAAATAGTGCTATGAAGTTAGACTTATGACTGGCTGCTTTTCCTACTCTGACTCACTGACCAAGTGGGAAGGAATATGGAAATCCAACCACAATTTTCTGTGGCACATACTTTGTTCCAAAGGAACAACTGGGCTTCTCAGATTCACTCTACTCTTAATCTTCCCCAAAACATACGTATTTAATAAAACTGGTGTTTTAATTCTGACTTGAGGTTATATGCCTGCCTTATAGTTTCTTCTGAAAGACCAGTATAGATTCCTCTTATTCTGGATACCATATTGTTTTTGATTACTAGAAGAAATAAAAAAAACTTTGTTGTAATGAAGTTGCCACAAAGCAGGTCACTTAAAACAGTAGAAAGATTCATTGTCACAATTCAGAAGGCCAATGACCAAAATGAAAGTGTCACTAGGCCACACTCCTTCCAAAAGGTCTAGAGGAAAAGCCTTTCATGCCTCTTCTAGCTTCTGGTAGCTATTGGCCTTCCTTGTCTTGTGGTAGCAAAACTCCAACCTCTTCCTTGTTCTTCACTGGCCGTTTTCTGTCTGTGTCTCTCTCTCACCACATCTCCTTCACCTTTCTCTTGTAAATACGCCTGTTAGGTTAAGGATCGCCCTAAATCCAAGATGATTTCACTTTCAAAATTCTTAATTAATTTTATCTACAAAGATCCTATATCCCAAACCTCACATTATGAGGTTGTAGGTGGATATGAAATTTTAGGGAAACTGGGTCTCCCAGGTGGCACAGGGGTTAAAGTCTCAGCACTATCAAGCTGTTGCCAGCTACTGTGACATGAGTTGGATCCCCCTCCAGGGAGCAACCCACATGGTGCAGCAGATCTCTCCGTGTTTCACCCGCTGCTCCCTTCAGCAGTGTATTTCAGTAGATTCGCCTGTTCTCTTCCCCATTCTGTCTGAATCCTCACATTCCCTGCACCTCTGGCCTATACCCCAGTTTTTGTATGCATAAATAAATAAAATAAATCTGTTAAAAAAAGAAATTTTAGGGAAACTTATGCAACCTATTATGCATATCAAAGGCTGTTTGGGGGGACATTTAGTCTTGAGAGTGTTCATGACTTTGCTTAGGAATCTCATAAACCTCCACCCTGGGATTCTAGCTATTTACTACTTCCTGGTAGTTAGAGTGAAGCAATCAAGGAGGCAGGTATAGTAGAGACTGAAATGGGAGAAGTGGCAGAGGCTAGATCTCATAGGAACTTTACAGGGCTTGGCAAAGGCCTAATGTAAATGTGATGGGGAACCATTGGAGAATTTTGAGCACAGAGTAACATAATTTATGGTGATTTTGATTTTGTTGTTTTTTGGGGTTTTTTTTAAAGACTATTCTGGATCTATTGACTTATAGGATCGAGTGAGACAGCAGAAATTTAAAAATCCAATTAAAGATTATTGTAGGAGACTGAGCAAAAAATGGTGGGGACATTGATACTAGCAGGAGAGGTGGTGACATTGTGAGAAGTGGTAAGATTCTGCATAGATTTTATAAATTGATCCAACAAAATTTGCTCAAAATAGGAAGCAATAAGCTAAGAAGGAAAGAGGTATCAAAGATCATTCTAACCTTAGCAGTTTGAATAATAGGGCCAAGTGAGACTGTCTACTAAAGGGCAACAATAGGGGAACAGTGGGTTGGACATGGTGTGGGAATGAGAAATCAGAATGCTCCTAACCGTGTTACATTTCGAGGGCTAGAATTCATTCTAGAGGAAACACCAATATATGAAATAAACATGACTGGAAGTCAATGGCAAGTTTACACTGGAGCAGCATTTGGGGGTTATAAACTGGTAGGTGCCAGAGTTGTCTGAAATCACCTGGAAAGGACGCTGAAAGGTCAGACCCTGAAACTCCATCATATAAAAATCCAGAAAGACGAGCAAGTGAGCAAAGGAAGCTAACAAAACAAGACTGGTGAGGAAGGAGAAAACCAGAGTATGTAGTGTTCATCAAGTTAAATGGACAACTAACCTGAGTGAAGGACTTCCCTTTATTTATTTTTATTTTTTTGTGGGATCCTCGCCGGTGGCCGGGGAACGAACTGGCACTGCAGAGGCTGCGGGCTGCCTCACAGCCCAGCGCTCAACCACTGCGCCACCAGGGGAGGCCCAAGGAGGGCAACTTCCCTTTAAGGGCGTAGATGCTGATGTGTTCTGCCCTCCTGTGTTAAATTCAGAGATTGCTGTATAACTGGACCTACAGATTAAATTACCATTTTTATATGTCAAAAAAATGAATGTGTAGTAGGAATTTCATGTGGTTCAAACGGAACATAAAAATTACCAATGAAATGTTCCTTTTCTAGCCCTTTTAAAAAAAAAAAATTACAAGTTCCCAGATCTTGTGGAAGGGCATTCAAGTTTTTCTTTCATGGTGAATTATATGTTTTTGATATCCATTTGTGCAGTGCTCCAGCTAATTTTCAGTGGGTAATAATGTGAACTCCTGCCTCTGTCCTACAGGAAGAATATGTTCAAGAGGGAATAAGATGGACACCCATTGAGTACTTCAATAACAAAATCGTGTGTGACCTCATAGAGAATAAAGTTGTAAGTACTAGTCAGCTTTTGTTTTCCCTGTTACTGTTTTAGAATAGGGAAAATGACAACTCTGATTTGCAGAAAGTGTTAGTAGCAATTACATTAATTTGGGGTATATGTGTATGTATGAAAAGAGAGCTGTAGAGCTTTGTTCTTATAAATATCAAGATGTATAGATGAGCAAAATATCAATTGACAAATGGAACTTCTTACTGAATTCTAAAAGAAGGCAATTGTCACTTATGTTGCTGTCATAGCACATGAGGAGCCATAAAATTGAGCCTGTCTTCCATTCATACACTTTGTAGGACTTTAGCCCTAGGAGTTATTCAAAGGAAAATGAAAGGAATGTGGATGGCACTCTCTACACTACTGTTTTTCTTAACCCAAAAAAGTGAAAACACCCATAGGCAATTCGGTCATTAAATAAACTACAGCATATCAGAGCTAGGGATTATAGCCATTGAAATGGTACATCTGACAAGTGACATGAAGAGTGATTATAAAATGTGACATGTGATGGAGTGTGTACCCTGGATAAAACATGGCACTATAGGTAATGGACTGAAAGCAACATTAAGAAATGCATCAGGGCCAAAAGAAAATGTTTTTTTCTTTGGAGTTTTCTTAAATCAATTTAGCTCAAATAGGAGCTAGCAGATAATGATCTGTGTATGACTTTGAATAGAACGTCAGGGAGTTAAACTATTTTTTTTTTTTTTTTTTTGGTCCGGAAAATGTACTTTCTTCATTGGTAGAGCTAAGTGGTAACTCCCATTTGGGATTATTAATTGCATTCTTGCTCAAAGGAAAAGGCTGACTTTTGAGATGGTATCTTAACTCTAGGGCACTGTTTCCTTGCTTAGTAAAAGACTTGATAAGCATTATATATTTTAGAACAGTCACTGAATTGGGGCTTTGCCTTCTTGGTCCCATCAGAACCCTCCCGGGATCATGAGCATCCTGGATGACGTGTGTGCCACCATGCACGCGGTTGGGGAGGGTGCAGACCAGACACTGCTCCAGAAACTTCAGATGCAGATCGGGAGTCATGAACACTTCAACAGCTGGAACCAGGGCTTCATTATTCACCATTACGCGGGGAAGGTATGGCCAGAGAGCGGGGGCTCAACAGGAAAGTGGAAGCCATCTTTTTCCATGCCTCCTTGTTTTAAGTCTTTTGATCTTTTATCTGTTTTCTATATGATGCAACTAACAGCAATATCCTTGGAGTTTCATCTGCCTCACTGTGTCTTCATAAAACACTCATTCTTAATGCAACACCGTGAGACCTATGAAATACATAGAGAAGCAAACAAAAAAATAGTAGACACTGCTGCATGTTTTTGAAGCATGAGTCATCCTTAATATAAGTGCGAACCGTGAATATAACACAGACCTGAATCGGCACATATCAGCTGCTGAGGGAGTGTACTTATCTTACCTCCAGATGCAGTCACAAGGCCACATTCCTTACCTGCCCCTGCCGACCATTAATATGGACTGAGGACACACTTGGGTGTTTGTTCTCACAAAATACATGAGTATTGGGTGCCTACTGGATACACAGCTTTGTGTGGGTGTTAGTGATACAAAAGGAAGTAAATTGAGATCATGGTAACTGGGGACTTCTTAGATCTGTGAAAACCCCCTACTCTCACTTTCATCCCAATTAATCCCTTGTTAACCAGGGTCCCTGAGCTTGGGGTTTTGACTGAATTGGTCCAACTCTGACACCATTTGCAGGAAAAATGGCAAAACCTCACTTATTTGGTATATTGCACTGGAGTCATGAGCATAGGAGTTTTATTTTATTCCATCTTAGCTAAAATATAGGGAAAGAATAAAGTTTGTTATGAGACACCCTTAAGGATCTGGGGGAAGAAGGAGTATGTGATCGTGAGAGCTCGAGTCCGGGTCCTAGATCACCTGGTGGTGAAGGCAGCCAGAGAACATTCATCAGCATCCAAATACCAATCCTTTGTATTTGTAATGAGCTAAATAAAACACGACACCCTTCCTGTGACAGTTCATGCCAGCATTCCAAATGCTACCCCCGGAAATACACACGCGCTGGTGAGGAGAGCCTCGCTGTGTGGATTTGTTGTTCAATGAAATGTTCAAAGGATATAATTAAATTTCTTCCCATTCCCGGCCAGGTATCCTATGACATGGATGGCTTTTGTGAAAGGAACCGTGATGTGCTGTTCATGGATCTGATTGAGCTTATGCAGAGCAGTGAGCTGTAAGTGTGTTCCCCGTGTGAAAGTGGGTATTAGTTTAATCAAACTTGCAAACTTGCTGCATTCTGTTCCCATGAACGTTTGGGTCTGGGTTATCATTGAAGAATTTGGCCTACTCAAAATAGTTTTTCCAGTTTCAGTCTCTCCCTCACCCCCCTAATACTTCCCTCCCCAAATTCCATGTGTTTACTGCACTCCCTGCAGGACCCCTAACTTCATCATTTTCAAAGGGTTTTATCTAAGAATATAATAGTCTGGTTTTGTGATACTTTGTCCTTGGAGTGTCAGCCTAAGAATTCTCATGGACACTCAATTTTTTTTTTTTTTTAAGCCATTGATTTAGCAAGATTCAAGTTAATCTGATTCCCTGAAACAGTGAGGAAGTGGCAGAGGCAACTCACAAAGAATGTATGGCCTCAGAATTCGGTTTTTGCTCCTAAAACCTAAGTTGTAAGGGTAGAAGCAGTAGGCACATCTCCCTTGCAAGTTGATGGAGCTCCCAGCACCAGCTCTGCCCTACCCTTTTCTTTTAACTTTGCTGCAAAGGTTTGCAAGATCCTAGGCAATAAATAGGAGACATAACTTATACGATCAGGACTGTACATGCCAGGCAAGTACAATATTGCACAGTTTTCCAGATTTTACAATATTTAGAGCTGCCTCCAATTAATAACTGCCCTTTTAGTCTCTATTTCTTAAATTGCCACAATGTCAAGATTAACTTCCTCCATAAATAGCAGTGAGTCTGAAGATTTCCTAGAAAAGTCTAACTGCAAAGAAATAAAAACTAACTCCTTTTCATGCCCTGGTTGGAAGTTCTGCTCCATTTAACTCTCTTCTCCTCTCCCACAATTTCTACCCCTCCCCCAACCCTCCTCTCTCCACCCCTGCACTTCTTTGCCTTCATTTCCCCTATTTGGAGATTCTGACACACAAAATCTATTTGTTCTTCTCTTAAAAGGTCAGGTAAGCCACAAGTCCTGTCTTGTGGGTTTTATGACAGTCAGGTGCAGTCAGCTTTCAGAGATTGTTTTTTTAATTATTAAAATCACTGCCAAGTTCCAGAGCTATTGATGCTTTTGCATAAACTTCTATCATTTAAACATGGTCTCTCCTTTAGTAAACACATTTGCTGGGAAAAAAATCTATAATTATGTCTGGTCAAGTTAAAAGTAGATTGCTGGGGAGACTTCCTAGAAAAGACAAGATGCCCAAAAAAGCATTTTGGAGGAATCAAATTTGAGTGTCAAGTTGCTCATTTACACCGATCACTTCATTTGGCAAATGTTTATTGTGCCTTTTTTGTGCAGCAGACATCGTGCATATCAAGGTGATTGTCCCTGCCCTGGGTCCTGACAAGGCAGTCGTGTAAATAAATGTAGCTCAGTTAGAATTATTAATGAAAGTACTTACAGTGGACAAAGCATTCATGAGCTATAATAGTTCTACTTAAAATTGCTTAATACTTACAAGCAGGGTTTATCCAGATTTTTTTGCATGGGGGTTGGTTGGAGGAGCAGGAATGAGTGCGTAACTAGCATCTAGTAGGCAAAGGTGACTGAGGCTGCACAATATCCCACAGTTTGTTGGAGCATCCCCACCCCAGAATTCTCCATCCCCAAATGCCAAATATCTACAGCGTCCAGGTTAAAAACGTTACTGTAAAGCAAAACAGAATCTGCCCTGGGACTGGACAGGGCTGATGAGGTCTCTGAGCTCTGGTCTGTTTTGTAAATCTTAACTCAGCAAACTCATCCTGGCCCCACTTGGGGGTGTCCTGTGTCAAGGTATACCTCCACTCCAGTGAGTGGGGAAATCAGAAAGGTCATTTTTAAATTTATTTTTCAGGCTTAGTCTCCAAGATGCTTATATCTCAGAATTCCTGTGTTTCTTTTATCCAGGGCTCATTTTCCCAGGTCATACCTGGAAGGCTTGTGCTTTGGGTCACATGCGCTTTCTGGAGCCAAGGTTCTGGATCTCTGAACAGGCCTCCTCCTCATTCGCGATGGAAGCAGGTTTTCCACCCCCGACGCACTTACTGATTACTAATCCATTCTTTTTCCAGACCTTTTATAAAATCTTTGTTTCCGGAAAATCTGCAAGCTGACAAGAAAGGGCGCCCAACTACTGCCGGAAGCAAAATAAAGGTTGGTTCTATTTTGAGATGTTCATAGATTCCTATCAGAGGCAGGGGTTTGTAAGAGTCAGGAACTACACCCCTGGGCCAGGGTGAGGTCAGTGAGAAGTGAAGAGTTGGTTATAGAAGATGCCCAGAAGTAAGGCGACTGCCTGAACAAGGTTACAGGATGCAAGATGAATTTGACTTGGCTGTGCTGAAACCCCAAATGGATGCTACGTAGCTTGGTAGTCAGCAGATGAAAATCAGCTACTTTCGAAGAGGAAACTGTTTTCAACTGAATCTGGAAGAATTCACATTAAACAATCAGAAACATTTTTTGATTCAGAGCCGCATTTGGGGTTTTGATGACAGTTTTCCAGACCAGAATGTAAATGTTGCCGATTGTGAAACTTAACATACCTAAAATTCTCTTGGACCTTTAATGTATACACCTTCCTCAGTGGGTCTCGCAGGCCCCTTTCTGCAGATCACAGCCCACTGACCCCGAAATGACTTGAAGAGGCGTTCCTGCAGTGTTCCTGGGGGACCCCTGTGGGCATGCACTGTGTCATCTGGACCGTGGTGTGATAACTCATTGTTCCTGGTTAGATTCTGAATTCAGAGCTGTGTCCAAACACACTTGGTGTGTTTGGTGTTCTTTGCAAAATTGCCACTAAAGTTTTTTAAAAATCATACCAGTTAAATACCACCCCCGTTTTAATAATCAGCGGGACCATTGACTGATTAAGTGTAGGACTCGAGTTTAATAGCATATATTCAAATCACTGCTCTGGCTTTTACTAGCTGTGTGATTGCCAGTAAATCTCCCACTGCTTGTTTTGCTTTACCTGTAAAATGAAGATCTGCGTACTTATCTTAAAGGAGTTCTGTGATGATTAAATTCAATAATCCTATGGCATTTTAGCACATTGCTAAAACTTAATACGCACACAATGCATATGATCCTCTATTACATTCTAGTGTCAGTCCCTTCCCGTGTGTCACTTTTACTCATCTTTGCACAATTTTTTATTTTTGATCCTTTATTGAAGTATCATTGTACTATGACATTGTATAAGTTTTAGGAGTATTTCATTATAAAATAAACATTTGTATATAATATATTCAGCACTGAAAGTCCAATTTCAACTTTGACCATCCAGTAGACCACTTTTACCAGTCTACACCCCACCATCTCTGTGTAATTCTAAGGGGGCTCTTGCATGTGCGTGTGCTGGCTCCCCTCCTAACTGTCCCCTCAGTCCCTCTGTGTGTCTACATCCTACAAGTCCCTTTCTCAGTGCCCCCTGGGATAAGCCCAGCCTTGTGGACATAGTTGTTATTGTGTGTTCTGTTGGCTCTTCGCTGAGTGTTTTGTGTATGGAAACCTACTTCCCCAGTCCCTGGTAAGTTTCCTGAGGACAAGGAAGCTGACTGGAATAAAGAAAATGACTTTGAAACCTCATAGTAGTGAGGTTTTCAATGCCTTAGGGTTTTGTAGAACAAGTCAGATGCAATCTGGACTCGGCATGGAGGGTAGAAGCTTCTGCGGTTAGGGACAACCATGTTGAAAGAACTAGAGAACTTCAGCAGTCTAGGGCTGGGCTCTAGATTGGGTTTCCTGAAACAGATTGCTGAGAGCAAAAAGCAGATGCAATTCTCATGAGGGCCCAGATATTAATGTCTGTCTGAAGCTTCTGACTCATGCCTTCATTTCAAGGTCCTGGATAAGCACTAGCTCTGGCCTGGAAAGTCTAGTCACAAGACTGTCACATTCAGATCCAAGGGGCTCAGATCATCAAGGTTGCAATGACTCACTTTCAAGTGGTCTGGAATTTCGGCTGAACTTATTCCCTATAAAAAAGAGGGTGGTGATAGGATCCTTTTTCTCCTCTTGGAAGACTTGACTCCTTTCTTTTCTTCATATTCTTGTTTAGTTGAATGCTCAAAATTGCCATCTTCTGGGTATGCTCAAAACAGCAGGACTGCAAGAATGACTATCATCTGGGGAGGTTGGACAGCTTTCTAGGGGAATGGTGCTGTGCAGGGTCTCACCCAGGTGGTGGCGTGTGTGACCTACGTCTGATGCTCTGCCTGCATGTAGAAGTAAAATTCTCCCTGTTTTATGCCTCCCCTCTAAGACACCTCTTAGAGTTGCATTGCCATGCCAGATCTTGTACTTCCTATATCTTCACTGTTTTGCACGTGTCATTAAGCATCACCTTAGTGATAATCCCTCAAGTGTAAGCATTCAAAGAGTTCTTGAGTTCTTTGGACAGAGATTTATATATTCAAGGTAGTTTTAGTGTTGGGTATTTTATTGCATTCTAATCCTTTAAAAGATAAAACTGATCTATGATTTAATGAACAGAATACTCATTTGTTTAGGACTTCCATTATCTTCATGAATAACAGTGTTCTAAATTTAATAACACTTGATTTTTGAGGCTTTGCTAAATTCTACAGTGCTGTGGCTGGATGGGACCAGTATGAGATAGAGCCGCCTAGGTAGAGAGAAGTAGAACTGAGTGGGAGCAGACAGCATGGGTTGCACTGTAGCTCTAAGTGAGACTGGGCCTTGAGGGAGCGAGGTGTGGCAGGAGATACAAGCATCATACAGTGTTTGGACTGGTTGACTTTTTTTTTGGATAGTTGAGTGGATTTGACTGTTAACAGGCAGAAATATAGCAACGGCATCCTTAGCTGAGATTTCTGTGGCAAGATGATTTTTGTCCTGAAGGAAGGCCAAGGCACCCTAAGTTTGGGCATCTGAGGGGCACAAGGTGCAGTCATGATGCTGGAGATTCTTGTAGGTGGCCTTGTCAAAGGGTCAGAAGGTGGGGTGCTTGAATGGGCTTTCTTGGGTTTGATGGCAGTCCCTTTTCACTTCTCTGGTTTTGCAGAGAGGCAGACTGAAGGGACAAATCCTCATCACACTCAAGCTTCAGAAAACAGATCTGCAGCACCCCTGATGATCCTTGTCACAGCAAAGGCGAAGCTGCCATAGTGATGACTTAGGGGAAGTCTGGGCCAGACAGGTTGAATTTTAACATATATTCCAACCATCAGGGTAAGATAGCACAGGGGCCTCCCTGGTGGTGCAAGGGGTTAAGTCTCAGCACTATGAAGCTATCCACAGCCACTGCACAAGAGTTCTGTCTCCCACCAGGGAGCTGACCTACATGGCACGGCAGACCTCTCCTGTCTCGCCTTCTGCTCCCCATTCTGGTTAATCCTCTAACCCCCTGCACCTCTGGCCTACACCCCAGCTCTTAAGATATCAGAGGTCTTCTAATTCAGCCTACTTAGATTACAAATGAAGAAACTGAGAGCTATGGAAATTTAGGATTTGTCTTGTAGTTTACAAATAGCAGAGGCCAAGACCCCAACTCGGACTTCTGGTAGTATGTGTTGAGACTGCTTTGATTCTAAGCCTTCTCCTACTTTCCTGCCCCGTCTTTGGTCATATTTGACACCTGCTTCTTCTGTTGGGCAAGTGGCCCTGGTAGTTTTCTGTCCTAAATCATGGATTTTTCTTGTGTGGCATTCAGATAAATTGAGTTGCAGCTTCCCAACCACCTCACAGAACATCTAAAATTGACCCACGGCTAGAGTTAGGATAATTTCATGATGTATTCCTGTTTGCTAAAACTAATTATTCCACAGTCTAAAAGCTTCTGCCTAATCCTAGCTCACCCAGTTAGCTCCTTTTTTTAATCACACTAAAGTATCCCTTGTCTTCATTAGGAAGACAGGAGGGAGCATTGTGGTTAAGAAACAGACTTGCTCCAGCCCAGGTTTGTTGCTGCTTGTTGTGTCCTTGTGAGAAATTCTGTCAGTCCCAGCTTTCACACCCAACACACAGCAAGCAGAAGAATAGTGGCTGCCTCTTGGAACCATGTGGCATAAAAGAGAAATTCATGCATCACACCCATGAGGCACGTTCCATGAAGAGTACCTGTTACTATTTTCAGCTGAAGAGAACTGTGTCAAGTGCCACGTAAACCTGACTCGCACCTGCCTCTAGGTTTTCTTACATTAAGGTGAGAGGAAAGTATGCTGTTCAATGGCTAGGGCTGCTGAGTCTTCCGGGTTATTCTTGGAAATTTAAGTTTTAATTAAATACAAAGTGAAAATTAAGATGTGGGGGACTTAGAGGACTGACCTTGATATGAACAACTCTGCAGCCCCCTCCCCAGCTTCACCTTCTATGTTGCAAAGATCATCAGATTTGTGCTCGCGTGCAGTCTGCATCCACACAGGTTATTCAGTTTGCTCTTTCACGGTAAGGCTTCCCTTTGGTCAGGTAACCTCATAGCTTTGTCCTTAAGTCTGAGCATTACCCCAAAATGCTATATTCTGCACATTTAAACAGAAAACTTAATTCACCAGTGACCGTCTTGCTTTGAATATACCCAAGAGTTTTTCTCAAGGGTTTCACATTTCCTAAAAGCCATGAAAACAGAAGAGCCTTAATTAAGAGAGGTTGTCTAATACAGCAAATCCCTTCTGCTGACTTGTAATAAGTTTTCTGGCTTTGGAGATCCCTTTTCTCTATTTTCTTTTTGAGGTTTTTTTCTCTCCACGCTCATTTGCTCAGAAGGAGAGTTTGCATGCATGCCCCATCCTTGGACAGGGTGTACTCAGTTGTGGGGTGCTGGGATGCTGATGTGGGCGCTGCTCCTGCTTCTTCAAAGTATCCAGATACTCATGATATGAAAATACAGCACAAGCAGTTTTTTGTGTGTGTGGTTTTTTTTTTCGTGCTTGATCCCAGTTCTGCTTTGGGTCTCCATAGCACTGGTAGAGAGAGATGATTCTATATTGAATATTTCAGCTTCAGAAAGGAGTAAGTGACCTGCACATTGTCAGGACTCAGTCTGCAGGCTTTGAGGAAGAAAAATGAAACAGCATATAAAAGATTTGCAGATTCTGAGGTTCTTATGACTCTCCCATCCTTTAACTATGAATTCCCATCATTTTTATAAGGTGATTCTTTATTGGTGGGATTGCCAAGAAAGCTATGAAAGTATTTTTGATGATTTATGCTTGCAAATAATTTGCCTAGCCCAGAAGAAGTTTATGAGAATGATGGATTTGCAAAGGAAATAGAAAATTAACTTAATTCATTAATTACTGCCACACTTCCTGGTATCTCATAGAAAGAATTACATGTTAAGATTTCCTGGGGATGCATGTATGTGTTATATATTACTAACTGCACTAAGAAGACCTAATTGATTTCAAAAATCAAATTTCAGAGCCACTGACAAGAGTATTAGTCATTGGATAAGTCAGTAGAGCCTTAAGACAGTACAGTAGACGTAAATGCCGTTTAGTGAACAAGTTCTCATGAAGATGAGCATCTAGCTATTTATTTCCACAGTGAGGGTTTGGGAGCCTCCTTTGAGCACTGGTCTACTAAAGAGAAAGTACAGGTTTCTAAGTGCTGTTATTCTTTCTTCCTTTCCAGAAACAAGCCAACGACCTGGTGAGCACCCTGATGAAGTGTACACCTCACTACATTCGCTGCATAAAACCCAACGAGACCAAGAAGCCCCGGGACTGGGAGGAGAGCAGGTGCGGCGACGCTGGTGGAGGGGAAGGTCGAAGCCCGCTTAGGCCCCAGTTCCCTCTACCCAAGGCAGAAACATTTAAACCACCTCAGATATGTTCCAAGTCCTTGTGCCTTAACTTTTTGAGGATGAAAACTCCGTGTGTGTGTGTGTGTGCATGTGTTTCCCCCTCCTTGTCTATTCCTGAAATGTTAGCAGTGCCATTCAGTTTAGAATTAGCAATTTATAATGTTGATCTTGGCTAGTCTGGGGGCAGATGGAGGGAAAAAAACCTTAATACCACAGAGTCACGAGGATTTTAAAATTAGCTGGAAGCTCTGTGTAGTCTTAGAATACTCAGCTCCTGATTGGAACCACAGGATGTGGCCTAGAATGCTTAGCTCGGGTTGGAAGTGAAGGTCCAAAGAACTCCTTAAAAAGCAATCTGCCTTTTCCTACTGCTCATGAGGACAGTGGGTTCTGGTAATCCCCCCAAGGACTATGTGGATGAACAGAGTGACTTTCTGGGAAAGTGGGGGGCACAGGGAGACATGGGGAGCACACACATGTGGGGTACTCTCTCCTCCCTAACTGCTGGGGACTCCTATGTCACTGTCCTCCCACAACTGACATTTTGAGACATGGCCTATGCAGGATAGAATGGGGGTGTTCCACAGGAAAATGTTAAGAGGAGGACTAGAGAATATAGTGTTTGTATCCAGTTGGGGTGTTCTAGGAGCCCTGATCCCACATTCCATAGGAACATGAGAAGTAGGCTGCTGAGGGGGAGACCTTGTGGGTAACTTAACGGAGGACCCCTGCCATTGTCACAAGGTAAGTCCCCAGAAAACAGCATATTAAGATTTGACTTCTCAGAAATCAACTGACTTAATCTAGTTTAAATTGCAACTAGAAGGCCAGGGTTAAAATTCACACTGCTGTGAGAGACATGTTCAGTCCATTCTCCATCCTACCTGCAAGGTCCTTTCTCATCCTCAGCAGACAGCTAGTACTTGATAAGAAAACAGGAAAGAAAATGTGCAAGTTCAAACATTCCCTCTCTGATTTTCACATTTCCCAGGACCTTCTGAGTCTTTTCTCACCTTCACATGCTGATGAGATAGGAACCTTTCATCATTATGTCAATCCATGATAGGCTCATCAGTGACTTTTTTTTTTTTTTTTTAAGATTTATTTTTCATTTATACAAGAACCAGAGTACAGGCCAGATGCGCAGGAAGGTAAGAGGATTCACCAGAGACAGAGTGGGGAACAGAACAGGCAGACTGACGAAATACACTGCTGAGGGGAGCAGCAGGCGAGCCAGGAGAGGTCTGCTCGCCATGTGGGTGGCTCCGAGGCCGGCGGGGATCGAACCGGCACTGCAGAGGCTGCGGCAGCTTCACAGCTCTGCGCTTAACCACCTGTGCCACCAGGGAGGCCCTCATCAGTGACTATTGATGATCAGTGTTCCTAGGACATTTTTTACTGAGTCACTGCAGTTTCCATTTAAGGACCATAAACAGAAGTTTCCTCTTACAGTGTTCTCCATGAATGATTTGCAAGCTCTTCAGATGAACCCACCCTGCCTAGGGGATCAGGTCTTCTTGGGATGACTCTTCCCATTAGTAGTTTCTATAGTCTTTCCCTCAGTCATTTTTACCCCACTCTTACAACTCTCATCAGGATTATTTCACTTGTCCGTTTGACAGTGTCTCCATTCGTTCAAGGCAGTCATCCTGTTGCCTGGAATCTTCTCTTCTTCAGGCTCATCACTCTCAATTCCTTCTGCCCTCTGCTTTTCTGAAACGTGTCATTCAGTTTCTCCTTTGAGGCCAAGAGGGTGGCAGTGTTTTCAGCTCTTCCCACCTGAGAGATTTTGCCTTCTCTTCTTTTTTTTTAAGATTTATTTATTTATGCATACAAGAACTGGGGTACAGGCCAGAGGTGTGGGGGGTGAGAGAATTAACCAGACAACGGGGAACAGAACAGGCAGACCGGCTGAAATACACTGCTGAGGGGAGCAGTGGGCGAAACAGGAGGGGTCTGCTGCGCCATGTGGGTTGCTCTCTGGCCAACCGGGAGATCGAGCTCGTGCTGCTGAGGCTGCGGACAGCTTCACAGTGTTGCGCTTAACCTCTTGCATCACCAGGGAGGCCCCATACTCTTATTTTCAAACTTGGGTTTACACCAGAATATTCCTTGCAGGGCTTGTTAAAAGTCAGATTGTTAGTACTTTTCTCAACGTTTCTGATTCAGCAAGTCTCGGGTTGGCACACCCAACAAAATGCACTTCTTTGAGAAAACTCCCAGGTGATGAAGGTGATGATGGGGCTGGCATCATACCTTGAGAACAGCAGGCCTACAGCAAAGTGCTGGCCTGGGATTCAGAAGAACTGTGTTCTGGAGGTGGCCTGGCACTAGCTAGTTTCACTGAGACAACTCCTCAGTCCTCAGTTTCTCCCTCTTTAAACTGGGAAGGACAATCGAAAATGGGATCTTCTTTAAATTTTCAGAATGAGCTCGCCCTGAATCTGTTCTCCCAAGTGGAGATTGCGGCCTCTGTCTCTGTGTCATTTGCACATCCAGTGACATCCTGCCCCCCCACGCATGCATATGCACGCGCACAGCAGAAGGGCGGTGTCACAGGCAACCTCAGAAGCTTTGGAAACAGAGGTATTGCTAAATTCAAGCTTTGGAAACAGAAGTATTGCTGCGAGGTGCTTTCGGCCACCTTTACCCCCACTTCCGACTCCATGCAGCTTTCCTGCCCTGCAGACAAAATCTGAAAGGGAAACAAATCGCTGCCCTGAAATTCCCCTCCCCTCCCCCACAGAGCTCTCCTCCCCCATGCACACTGCTCTGGTGACTGTCCCTCTCAGAGACAAATTTTGCAATAGCTACTGCTTGGATGTTCCACCAACCCTGATGCTTCCTTCTCATACAATCCAAATGATTCATTGGAGTATCAGGAAATGGGGACTTGATAGGGCTACATTTTACTCAGTAAAGCTCAAATTTTCCCCAAGGTGTTTTCCTCCTTTTATCTTTTAAACCACATCCCTTATTTGAACTGTAGCAAGGAACTTGGTAACATCCATCCATGTAAGCTGTTCTTAAGAAGTCTGAGGTATTTGGTGATCAAGCACTGATTTGTATTTTCAGCAGGATCACTTCCTCCGCCCTCCCTCTCCTGCTCCCCATCCCCGCCTTAGGCCCATTTCATGACAAATGGTTTCCCTTCATCCAGGAATCTGGAGTCTTGGGGTCCTCGGAAGGGCAGTGAATGGGCTTTGTTGGCAGGGATTACACGGTCAATTGAAGTTCTTGGTGGCCAGGGTTGCTCATTCCACAAGTTTATGGGGTGTGGTTTATTTTTCTTTTCCTGTTGGAAATGTGTTTTTGTTTGACTCTGGCAAAGTTGCCTGCTCTGGATTCTGAATTGCTCCCCCAGCAGAGGTCTAGGGCCTGACCTACTTGTGCTAAATGGCAAGGGCAGTCATGAAAAGGGGTGCATCCGAGGGGTGGGTGGCATAACCGGGGCAGTAACTGTGCACTTTCCGCCTGGCTGATATTTACTGAGGAGGTGACAGGCTCTAAGGTATGCAAAAATCAGCTTGGATCCTTAGCTTACACAAAATTTTAAACAATATAGAATTTGCTACACGGAGTGTCCTGTTGAAAAAAAACTTCCTGGTGGTAGACGTTATAATAAATGAAACGGTGTGCTAATGAGGCATATTCTCTCCTATGTGATTCACAGGAAAGGAACGTTTCTACTTGAATCAATGGGTGATACATTCTCTGCCTCAAAAGCTTAGGGAGAAGGAAGTATTTATAAAAAAGACTGAAATAATTATTTTCCTGAATCAGATGTTACCTCTTTTTATATATATATAATGTTTTAAAGAAAATAAACCACTCTCTAGTATCCATCTTCCCCCTCCACTCTTAACTTCTAGTCACTGCATTTTGATTTCCAATGTCCACTAATTTGTTTTTATTTTATTTTGTCTGTTTATCTGCCTAGCTTCCTTATAATGCATATATAAATGGTATCATCAAATAACCATCTTGTTAATTTTGCTTCATGTAGTCCCCTCAAGTTCCTTTGATTTTGCTGCAAATGGCAAAATTTCATGTTTCCTTCTAGCTGTATTGTCTCCCACTGTGCCTGTATATCACATCTTTTTTTTTTTTTAAGATTAATTTTTATTTATGTGGTACAAGAACTGGAGTACAGACCAGAGGTGTGGGAGTGAGAGGATTCACCAGAGACAGAGTGGGGAACAGAACAGGCAGATCTACTGAAACACACTGCTGAAGGGAGCAGCGGGCGAGTCAGGAGAGGTCTGCTGCACCATGTGGGTAGCTCCCTGACTGGGGACTACTCATGCCACAATGGCTGCAGATAGCTTGATAGCTGAGACTTTAACCCCTGTGCCACCAGGGAGGCCCCATATCACATGTCTTCTTAACCAATCATCTGTCAGTGAGCACTCAGGCAGCTTCCAAATCTTAGCTATTGTAAATAATGCCACAGTAAACATTGTGGTGCATATAAATCTGAGTTGATGATTTCATATTCTATGTTGGATACCCAAAACTGGGATTGCTGAATTATATGGTAGTTTGTTTTTTGTTTGTTGGTTTGTTTGTGTAGGAAAACTGGAGTGTAGGCCAGAGGTACAGGGGGGTGGGGGGGTGAGAGGATTCACCAGAGGCAGAGTGGGGAGCAGAACAGGTGTATCTATTGAAATACACTGCTGAGGGGAGCAGCAGTGAGGCAGGAGAGGTCTCCCAGTATTTTATTTCACTGTGCAAATGATTTTTAATTTAATGTAGTCTCATTTGTTAATCTTTGCTTTCATTTCTCTTGCCATGGGGATCAAATCCCCAAAGACAGCACCATCAGTGATGTCATATAATGTATCACCTATGCTTTTTATTTTAATGTATTTCATGGTCTCAGATCTCTCATCCAAATCTTTAATCCATTTTGGATTTATTTTTGATATGTGGAGTTAGAGAGTGATTTCAGTTTCTTTCTAGATTGCTACCTCTTTAAGTCAACCAGATATGGATCAGAAATCAAACTCGAATATTGACTATTAATCTGTATATAAAGATTTTTTCAAGTTAATTACCTTGATGGCATTGATATTTCTGGGTGGCTCAAGTAAGACCCATTAGACTTGAGACTTTCTAAATATTCCTCACTCTGTGACCTCATCTTCCCAGGGCAATCAAGTCTCCATCCCCTCTTCCAGCTTAATTTTTCTACCTCCTCCACCCGTACCCTGCATCCATTTTTCAAAACACAGTGCCAATTTTTTGTTATTATAAAAACTGATTAAGATTATAATTTACATACATTTTAGAATGTTTTTAGCTTAGGCTTTTAAAATTAGTAGTTTTATATGCTCTTTTTTACCTTGTACTTAAAAATCTAAAAGTGTACTCTTAGGTCTAGAATCTATTTTGAACATAAGCTTGCTAACAAAAACAGCTCCAGCATCATTTAATTCAAAAGTTAAAAGTTCTTTCCTTTAACCTTTTGAAGAACTGGTATCTTCATTTATAATCTTGGTACTAGGCATAGAACTTTTTGTTTCACTATTTTTAAAATATATGCATACAGATAAACATGTAAAATCTCCTATTAATTCCTTTATTTCATAATAAACATTTATAAAGTTATTTAAACCAACAAGTCAGCTCAGGCTTTTTTAAAAAAAAATTTATAATTTATTTTTTACATCACTGTTCATTTTAAACAATATTTGCTTTCCCCCCAACCCACCCCCAGGTGTAGTCCCCATTGAGCTTCCTTCCCCAAGGCACCCGTGTACCATCACCTCAGTCCCCTGTGCTCCTCCCTCCCTCCCTCTGATCCCTCTCCCGCCTCCTCCCCTGCAGGGTGTCTCTGATTTATAATTGTCTGTTTTTGCTTTGTTGTATTTTGTATTGTTATTATTTTTTTACAATGATGTCTTATTTCATTCCCCTATATTCCTGCTATAAGTGAAACCATCTGATATTTTTCCTTTTCCTTCTGTCTTATTTCACTGAGCGTAATTCCTTCTAGCTCCATCCATGCTCAGACTTTCAAAGTAAGTTTTCCTGCTTAAAATTGGGAGATTTGGAGGATGTGGGTAGGAGAGTAGGATAAAATACTATCCAGTAATTTCTTGGCTTCATTTTCTCCTTAATAGGGTAAAGCATCAAGTAGAATACCTGGGTCTGAAAGAAAACATTCGTGTGAGAAGAGCTGGCTATGCCTATCGGCGCATCTTTCAAAAATTCCTGCAAAGGTAATGAACTGGTCTCTGGATTTTCTTGTTTCAAATGGTTTGAGATGTAATTCACATACAGCTCATCCATATAAAGTATACAATTCATTGCCTTTTTTGTAAAGATTGATTTATTTATGCATACAAGAACTAGGGTACAGGGATGAGAGGATTCACCAGAGACAGAGTAGGGAAAAGAACAAGCAGGTCTACTGAAATACACTGCTGAGGGGAGCAGCGGGTGAGTCAGGAGAGGTCTGCAGCGCCATGTGGGTAGCTCCCTGGCCAGGGATTGAACTCGTGCTGCAGTGGCTATGGATAGCTTCATAGTGCTGAGACTTCATCCCTTGCGTTACCACGGAGTCCCTACAATTCAATCACTTTTAATACATTCTTAAAAGAATTGTGCATCCAATACCACAACTTTTGAACATTTTCATCACCCCCAAAAGAAATTCTACTTCTCCCAGAGGTCAACCCCAAATTCTCCCCTTGCCCACTGTCCTAGGGAGACACTAATGTACTTTCTATCTCTGTAGATGTGCCACTTTGAGGCATTGCATGTAAGTAGAATCACTTAATAAGTGTCCTTTGTGTCAGGCTTCTTTCACTTGGCATGTTTTTAGGGGTCATCCATATGACAGCATATATCTGCACTTCATTCCTACTCATCGCTAAATAATATTCCATCATACCAGTATTCCAGTATACCACATTTCATTTGTTCATTTACCAGCTGATCTGTTGTTTCCACTTCTGGCTTACTATGAATAATTCTGCGGTCAACATTTATTGCCCATTTTTTTTTAAAGATTTATTTATTTGTTTATGCATACAAGAACTGGGGCACAGGCCAGAGGTGCGGGGGTGGGGGGTAAGAGGATTCACCACAGACAGAGTGGGGAACAGAATAGGCAGACTGACGGAAATACACTGCTGAGGGGAGCAGCGGGTAAGACAGGAGAGATCTGCCTCGCCATGTGTGTTGCTCCCTGGCCAGCCGGGGATCGAACTTGTGCTGCAGAGGCTGAAGATGATTCATAGTGCAGTGCTTAACCCCTTGCGCCACCAGGGAGGCCCTATTACATGCTTTTATATGATCATGTTTTCACTACTCTGGGGTACCTACCTAAAATTGGAATTGTTAGGTCATATGGTAACTCTATGTTTTCCCTTTTTCATGAACTGCTAGATTGTTTTCCCAAGTGGCTACACCATTTTATACTCCCACTAACAGTGTTTGAGGGTGCAGTTTATCTGCATCCTTGTCAGCTTTTGTTATTGTCTGATTCTTTTATTCTAATCATCCTAGTGGATATGGCGTGGTAGCTCACTGTGGTTTTGGTTTGCATTTCCCTAGTGGGAAATTATGCTGAGCGTTTTTTCATGTGTTCATTGGTTGTTATAGAAATGTCTACTCAGGTCCTCAGTCCATTCTTTAATTGGGTTATTTGTCTTTTCATTATTAATTTGTAATGGAATTCTTTTTCCGTCATTTATTGTAGAATAAATTGGTAGTCGCAAGCACTTGATCTATTTATTGGAGTACATAACTTCAGGAATTCATGATAATTGTGACATAGAAAGAGGTGAGGTTTAACTTTACTGAGCAAATGAATAGTATGAAGATAATTTCAGGAAAACATTTAACTTCAGAAAGCAAGTTTAATGTATACAATTACAAAATTTTTGTACAGCCCATGTATACAGTTAAGTGGATTTTTACATTCCCATTATGTATTTGACAACCTGAAGTTAAATTGTTCTTGTTTTTGTGTAATCAGTTTATCAAAAGTATAAAATAAAGTGTCTTTAAAATATTACATAATTCAAACTGCTCAAATGATTGTAAATTAGTGGCGTTCCACTGACTTTTCTACATGTATTTGATTTTCTTTAAGAAAGAAGGAAACTATATTCAGTATTTTAATCAGAAACTAGTTATATCTTCTGGTTTATGATACAGAAGCAGGACGTAAGGGATTTTTTTTATTTTTATTTTTTTATTTTTTTATTTTTTAAATTCCCCATACAATTGCAGTCCCCCCCATTCTGACCCCAATCCCTCCCCTCCCGCCCCCGCCCCCCTAAAAGTGTCTCTGGTTCATAGTTTTTTGTTGATTTTGATTTTCACTTTCTTATAGTTATTCATTATCCTGGTCCCTTATTTAAGTTTTCTAGATTCCTGCTATGAGTGAGACCATCCGGTATTTTTCTTTTTCTTTCTGGCTTATTTCGCTGAGCATGATCCCTTCCAGCGCCATCCATGTTGCTGCAAATTGCATGTGTTTATCTTTTTTGAATGCTGAGTAATATTCCATGGTATATATGTACCACATCTTCTTGATCCAGTCATCTATTTTTGGGCATTTGGGTTGTTTCCAAAGCTTAGCTATTGTAAACAGTGCTGCTATAAACATAGGGGTGCAGGTGTTCTTTGGAATTGATGTTTCTGTGTCCTTTGGGTAAATACCTAGGAGTGGAATTGCTGGATCATATGGAAGCTCTATGTTTAGTAGGTCCAGAAATCTCCACACAGCTCTCCATAGTGGTTGGACCAGTTTGCACTCCCACCAACAGTGCAGAAGAGTTCCTTTTTCTCCACACGTAAGGGATTTTTTTTAAATTCAAATTTTATTTAGCAAAGTGGTAGCAGATTGAAGAGCATAATTACACTCTTTGAAATCCAGTCCTTATAATGAGATTGTTCTTCCTTAAGGGGGGTGTTGTTTCTTGTACCTGAGATTGGGGTGGCTGACCGCAGTGTCATCCATGTGGAAGATGGAGAGCAGCTTCACAAAAGGACAGATTATGCCCATAAAACCTCATAGAATCCATTACCACATGGTCAAGATTCCTGGTAATTTTGGAGGCAGATTAGACAAGGAATACAATTCACCCCCACTGCTCTCTAAGTTAAAGGGACCCCCACATCACTAGCATAAGCAGAGCTCTATGAACAGAAGTATTTGGGAAGTAGAGAAATTAAATTTGCGTCACTATAGCAGTATCCAGTTGCTGATGAACAACTAAGATGTGAATTATGAGACACATTCTTTGATGTTAATTATGAAATACTCTTCTTTAAACAGATTGGTACTAGCTTAGAACAGGATTTCTCAGCCTCAGCTATTAACATTTTGGACTAGGTGAGTCTTCATGGTGGGGGCTGCCCTGTGTCCTATAAGGTATTTAGCCACCAACTTGGCCTCCACCCACTTGATGCCACTTGTGACAACCAAAAGTGTATCCACACAGTCTCCTGTGCCCTGAGGACAGACCTAGTTGAGGACTATGGCGTAATCAGTAAGGTTTTTGCTAAAGTGCATGCATTTCTTTGAAAATACCCTTTTTTAATTAAGAGAACAAATTAAACACACAAAATTGTGAATCGTGATGTGGCTTATAAGATATATATTTTGGTCATTCAGGTAACCATATTTATTCCTACATATTTGTTCTCCATCAATAATGGCTGTCTCTGGCCTCCCCGGTGGCGCAGCGGCTGAGCGCTGGGTTGCGAAGCTGCCCGCAGCCTCTGCAGCGCCTGTTCGATCCCCGGCTGCTCCCCGGCCACCGGAGGAGGGTCCCGCATGGCGCGCAGACCTCTCCTGCCGCCCGCTGCTCCCCTCAGCAGTGTACTTCGGTCCTTCTGTCTGCTCTGCTCCCCGCTCTGGCTCTGGTGAATTCTCTCACCCTCCCGCGCTTCTGACTGTACCCAGTGCTTGTATAAATAATAAATAAATAAATCTTTAAAAAAATAAAATAAAATAAAATGCCAAAAAAAAAATAATAATAATAATGGCTCACAGCTTCTCCCTCCCCAAAATCTTAGAATTTCCTAGGTGTTAAGAGTATTAAATAGGGCTAGGGGTTAGGGTTAAACAAAAAAAGGAAAAAGAAGAAAAGAAAAAAAAGAGTGTTAAAGATGTTTTTTGTTATGTTAAAATGATACCTTTGATGGACACTTGAGATTGGGAGCTGGTTGCCAGGGAAATCAACTGGAGTAGAGAGTTGGAACTTCCAGTTCTACCTCCCTGATCTGAGGAGGGGAGAGGGGCTGGAAATTGAGTTGAATTGCCAATAGCCAGAGAGTCAATCAATAGTGCCTATGTAGTGAAACCTCCATAAAAGCCCAGAAGGAGAGACCTGGAGGGCTTCTGAGTTCGTGAGCACATGGAGATGAGGAGAATGGTGTGCCTGAAAAAGGCATGGAAGCTCCCCAGCCTTTCCCCACTACCCTGCCCATCTCTTCCATCTGGCTGTTGATTCTTATCACTATTATCCTTTGTAATAAACCAGTGATCTAGTGGGCAAACAGGTTTCCAACGTTCTGTGAGCCGTTCTAATAAGTTAATTGAACCCGAGGAGCATGTCCTGGGAACCTCTAATTTATAGTCAGCTGGTCAGAGACAGATAATAATTTGGACTTGTGACGAGCACCTGACATCTGAGGGGGGCATCCTGCGCCTGGCTGGACAGAGCCCCATGGCAGCCTGAGCCTTGGGCCTGGTGTGTGAAGTGAAGTGCAGTCTTAGGAGACAGAGCCCTTCATAGCTGTGGAATCGGACAGATCTCCAGGTAGAGAGTGTTAGAATTGACTTGAATTCTCAGCTACCTTCTGGTATACAGAAATTGCTTTTTGGTGTGGGGAAACTTCCACACACTCCCATTGGAAATGGTCTCAGGGACACTCACAACACATGAATCAAAAGTATTTCCTCCATCTTCCCCTAGTTCAGAAAGGCCTGCTCGCAACCATCCGAAAACATTTATGATTTTATCCTCTTCCAATATTTTTCCTGTACTTAAAACTATTTGAGACAAGCATATTTTCACCACTATTGAAAACCGATCAGATATCCTTAAATATCTAATCTTGAGATTGGGAGCTGGGTGCCAGGGAAATCAACTGGAGTAGAGAGTTGGAACTTCCAGTTCCACCTCCCTCATCTGAGGAGGGGAGAGGGGCTGGAAATTGAGTTGAACTGCCAATAGCCAGAGAGTCAATCAGCCATGCCCATGTAGTGAAGCCTCCATAAAAGCCCAGAAGGAGAGACCTGGAGGGCTTCTGCGTTTGTGAGCACATGGAGATGAGGAGAATGGTGGTTTTGTCTTGAGAAGCTAAATCTGAAAGACCTTTGCACATGATTTAAGGGAAAAAATAAACCAACAATTCTGTCTTCCGTAAGTAATGAGCGTGGTGAGTTCCACAGCACTGGGGGGAGTAGAGAGGCGACCCTCTCCTTGCAGGAATGTCGGAGGTACCCAGGGCCTGTTGTATGCTTGTTTGCAGTAGCTCTTAAATGAGCTATAAAATGACCTCATTGGCTATAATATCAGACCGTTCTCAGGGGCCATGCTCACTTCACGACATCATGTGTGGCACATTCTGCTGTGCCTCACACAGAGGAAACATCTAGTGCATATCTGGTTTGCCCTTCATGTTGAGGGGCTTTCCCTGAAATGATTCTCTCCTTGGATCCTCCCTTCTTAGCTCTCCTGCTATAGGCTTTTCTTTTCAGCAGTGACAAATGGGATGCCCTGACTTCTGACAAATGGGCTGCCCTGACTTCTAAAGTAGTCTTTCAATGTTGTCAGACATCTTTTGATTTGAGTATATTGGAAGGATAATAAAAAATTTAGTTTGGAGGAAATTCATTTTTCAGGGAGTAGTACATTTTTTCGTCTACTCAAATAAGCCTAAAAGGCCAAATATGTGAATGGACAGGGAATGCTTCTCTGGAGACATGCGTACGTACCACCGGTCTCTGTCCAGCGAGTGTGCCATTGGTTGTCTCCTCCTGTGTCTCGCTGTGAGGAATAAGCCATCTTATGCATTTATTCTCACCATAGCTGAGAGAAAAGGCATTCTTTACAAGGTTGCTTCCCAGGTATCCTCAGAAAAGCTATCCCATGAGAAACAAAGTGAGTACCTGGAGGGGAAGCAGGGGCTCATACCAGCGCAGCCCCAGCCTCCCTCAAGCCTCTCGCGCTACCTAGAGCAGACGGGTGGCTTAGAAAATAAGGAACAGGGCTTTGTCCTCTCTGAAAAATCCTTTGTATTTATTAAAGCAACTCCTCTTGACTGAAAATTGGATGCTAAAAATCAGAAGAGGCCTTAATTTTGTCACTGTGGACCATATGCTCTTAAAGTATATCCTGCCTTGCGTTAAGCAATATAAGAAAAACCCCTACGGAGAGCATTAAAAAGCCATTGGCGGGCCTCCCCGGTGGCGCAGCGGTTGAGCGCCGGGTTGCGAAGCTGCCTGCAGCCTCTGCAGCCGGTTCGATCCCCGGCTGCTCCCCGGCCACCAGAGGAGGGTCCCACATGGCGCGCAGACCTCTCCCGCCGCCCGCTGCTCCCCTCAGCAGTGTACTTCAGTCCTTCTGCCTGCTCTGCTCCCCGCTCTGGCTCTGGTGAATTCTCTCACCCTCCCACGCTTCTGACTGTACCCAGTGCATGTATCAAACAAACAAACAATAAATAAATAAATAAATAAGACATGCCTCTAGAAAATTAAAAAATAAATAAATAAAAAAAATAAAAAGCCATTGGCAATATTAACCACTTGGAGTCCCAAGCCTTTGAGCATGGGAAAATATCTTAAAATTCTTAGAAAACACTTTGAGCTCTGCAATTTGTGTTATTTACTGTGGCTGGGAAAAATAAACCCACCTGTGGATTGATTCTTTGGGAGGAAAACGCTGTAGAGACCTAAAAAATTTGTGACATTTATCTTATAGCATCATTTATATTCACAAACATACCTCCCTTGACCTTGACCCACACCTTCAGAGTGGAAAAGGGCTGCTGGGGAAGAAGGCATAGAATGTGAAGAGTATGCTACTGGTTGCCAGGACTTTTGTGTCCCTAATTTCAGCAGCTGGAGGGTCCCTGGGGTCTGGGCTGCATTTCCTCTCAGGGCAAAACACTGCAGAGCATGGGGCCTACCCAGTACAGGGGCAGGGCAGGGGGAGGAGAGACCCCTGGGCAGAGAACACAGCCAGTACAAAGACCTTGAGGTTAGATGTTGGCTTATTGGAATCTTATAATGAAAATAGTTGATGAAAGGAGTGTAAGTGATTATCCTTATCTCCAAATTATCACAGGCACAATTAGACAGTGCGCCATTGCCATGCACAATCTGTTCCCAGGTCTATCCTGGAGAAAAGCGAGTGATCTGGATGCACTAGAATTATGCCCTGGTCTCTCCAGTGGAAGGGGGAGAGGAGCATGAATCAGTTTATGAAAGCAAAGGTGCCCAGAAATGCCAGCCAGTCTCCGTGTTTCACCCGGCCTCTCACAGTGAGGGGACTTGTTAGGAAAATGGAGTGAGAATAGCTACAAACCCAGTTCCTTAATATGAAAAACTATAATAAGAAATGCAGCATCATCTCAATAAGGGAAAAATGTGAATTACAATGAGGTACCTATTTGTAGTTGCAAAATAAAATGGCTTTACTTTATAATTTCATTAGATCAAATAGGGTAAACTTGCATTATTAATACTTGTCACACGGCTCTCCTTTCTCACCCATATTCTCAATGTGCATGAACTTTTCCTCCTTATCCATTTGGAATTCCTACTTTTTCACCAGGTTCTCCAGCCACACCTAGAAAGGCTCTACTATCTGTCATTTTATATGCGGCTTGACTTGTTTTATTGTCCTCATTACTTCACCTATGAAATGGATTCATGCTAATTAATGTGTGGCTTCAACTAAGCACTTTTGTTTTTAAGTTTTTAAACTAATTGGAGAATGGGGGGGGTTGCTTATTTAGAAAATTTATGTCACTATCAGGCAAAAAATGTAGATATTTGGGAGACTCAGAGAGGGGTCCCTAGGATCCCCTAGTGTCAAAGTATGATAATACCTGTTTTGCCCCCTTAGGGAGCTCTGGATCCTGTTCTTCTCCAGAGTCTCTCCTCCCTTGGATGCCATAAATCACTGTCATCCTGGTAGTAGTTTCTGGGAACAAAGGAGAACCCTGTCTCCTAAACACCTGGCACCCACTCATTGCTGTGCTCTAGATGTTGCCTGCATGCAGCATCTGCATGTCCACACCCTCCCCTGCTCTCTCACTTTCTGTGCCTCCTCTCTTCCTCCCTCCCCCTCACGTCTTCAGTGCCGTCTTTATTTGACATCCCATATTGTGCTTCTTCCACCTTTTGAGTGATTATGATGTTTCTAACATGTACAGTGAACTGTATAATCTTTAAAGAAATATTACACTTGAACCAGTCTGTGGCTAATAGGGAAGGCAGTGATTAAAGCACAGAGTGGGATTCAAATCCCAGCTCTGACACTAGCCTAGTAGCCTTGGGCAAATCTTATTTTGCCTGTGTCCTACTCTGATAAATGAAAAGACTACCTCCATCAGGTTGCTGTGGGAATAAAATGAGATCATACATCTAAAGCACCAAGAATGGGCCTCCCCAGTGGCGCAGCGGTTGAGTACTGGGTTGCGAAGCTGCCCGCAGCCTCTGCAGCACCGGTTCCATCCCCAGCCGCCGGGCGAGGCCTCTCCTGCTGCCCATGGCTCGCAGGCCTCTCCTGCCGCCTGCTGCTCCCCTCAGCAGTGTACTTCGTCAGTCTGCCTGCTCTGCTCTCCACTCTGGCTTTGGTGAATTTTCTCACCCTCCCGTGCTTCTGACTGTACCCAGTGCTTGTATAAATAAATAAATAAATCTTTTAAAAAAATAAAGCACCAAGAATGGGGCCTCCCTGGTGGTGCAAGGGGTTAAGCACTGCTCTGTGAAGCAATCCACAGCCTCTGCAGCAGCACGAGTTCGATCCCTGACCGGCCAGTGAGTAACCCACATGGCGCAGCAGACCTCTCCCGTCTCACCCGCTGCTCCCCTCAGCAGTGTATTTCAGTCTGCCTGTTCTGTTCCCCACTCTGTCTCTGGTGAATCCTCTCACACCCCGCATCTCTGGCCTGTACCTGAGTTCTTGTATGCATAAATAAATAAATCTTTTAAAAAAAATAAAGCACCAAGAATAATACCTGAGGCAGAAAGGACCGCCACAAATGTTAGCCACTAGTAGTATTAATGCTGTGCACCAGGCATTGTGTCGGTTGTCAGGTGTGTAGCATGACGCACACAGGGGTGGCACCGACTCTTGGTGCTGTCCGCTTCACCGGGAAGCGTAGATGACCCAAATAAGCATAAATAAGAACATAATGGCAAATTACATACTCTGAAGGAAAAATATTTTCCATGATAGAAAATCATAGTGTGGTGATCTTCATTGGGCAGTCCAAGAAGGCCACCCTGGAAGTGTTGCTGAAGGCAAGTCCCCCAAGGAGGAGCAGCCATGTGGGGACTTTTGAGAACAGCACACCTGGCAGAGAGAGGACCAAGATGGGAGGGGGCAGGTCATGAAGAAGAGGCTGTTCTCAGGAGCATAGCAAGGCAAGGTTGGGATAGCCAAGGACAGGATCGCCAGTGTCTTGTGTCTCAAAATGCAAGGAATATTCCAAGTGGAAGTTGTAATCATCACTGCTGCTTCTTGGTAGCTCTGTGTAACTCTGCATCCATTGTTAAGTGTCAGAGGAAATCAGAACCATTTGATTTTGCCTGAAGAGTTTTACAGTGACCTTCACAATACTATTTTTAAATGGTGATGGAAAGAAAAAGCCGATTTTCACCAGTGTTAACATGGAAACTGCTGGATAGAAAGGAATCTGAGGCAGCTCTGTGGTGGGCATCAAGGGGTGTTGGCAGGCGTCTGGCTCCATCCTGAAGCCATTGAATGAGGGGTGGGTGACCAGGACCCAGCAGCACGGGCTGACTTGGGCAAGCACTTAAGTCTGAGTGTGATCTTTCTCTCCCCAATGGGCCTTGAAGGTATGCCATTCTGACCAAAGCCACTTGGCCCTCATGGAGAGGAGATGAGAAACAAGGTGTCCTCCACCTGCTGCAGTCCGTCAACATGGACAGTGACCAGTTCCAGCTGGGAAGGAGCAAAGTGTTCATCAAAGCCCCTGAGTCTGTGAGTGCACAACTGCCACCCCCCCCTTTCTGCCACCTTCTGCCTGCAGCACCTCCCGCCACATAGCTGGCTTCTTTTTCTGTTCCTTTGGTTCACACCTTAAATATATCCTCCAAGGTGTCCCTCTGCTCCCGGTATAGGTGTGGGTCATTCCCGACTCCTGAGAGCCTTGAGAGCACTCAGAACATGGGGAAAATGTCATCATGCAATAGTTTCTTGTTGTCTCTCTCCCATTCTCTAGAAGGTCACATCCTTGAGGTCAGGATACCCTGCTGGTATGCCATCATGTACCCCCTCTTACTGAGGTACCTCATGTACCACCTCATGCTGGAGGTGCCCAGTCACTAGGTATAGTACCCAGGAGAGTCTAAGTTAAAAAGGGACTTTCTTATCCCACATCCTCACCTGCGTGACAACAAAGAGGTCATTTACACACTGGCCCAGGCTTACTCCTTGCAGGCGGAGCAGAGCCCAGGGGTGGGAGTTCCCGGGACTGTACTCGAAGACCATGGTGGGGAGTCTGGAACGGGCTTCCAGGGAATAAATAGGGAGGAGGAGAAATCTCTGGATTTATAGAACATGAATATCTATCAGTAAGGGATTCAGACATACACATTTTACAATTCACAAACTTAGCACACGGACGGACACACACACACACACACACACACACGAACTTTTTTTTTATCTTTCCTGATGAGGGTCTGGTCACTGGGAGCCTAGTGACCCTCCATAGGAGCTTCTCAGTTTGGGTGAGAACCCAGCACAGCCTCTCAGTTCTTCTGCCCCGTTACCTCTGAGGCTGTGGAATAAAGATGTTTACTTTTTCAAATTGGAGAAACTGCTGGAACTAACTGAGGATCAACAGCATCATTTCCTGAGATTCCTTTATCGCAAGACCCCATTTCAAGTGTCTGTGGTGAACGTGGCACAAATAGCCATCCGATCGAGAGGAAGCTGCAGGAGAACTTACAATGTCGGTAAAAACGGAAACACTTGCCTTAGACCAATCTTGCCCTCGCTGTAGTTTTCTTCTCTAGATCACGCCCCACAGCTGCAGTTCTGTCTGCCCTGTAGGATCGGCCTGGGACTCAGGAAGGGTAATGGCTATACCCGAATGGCCTTCGGAACATAAAGATTATTAAATAAATAAATGGCACACGTCGATAGAACCCGTTTATGAAAAGTTTGTGGTAGCATTTTCCTCTTCGAGTTATTTGTAGCTTCACAGCAATTTCATTTCCAAATATAAAATGAAAATGTTGTGTCATGCACCATTAAGCAGCCCACAGAACAGTTCCTGTTCTTTCCAAAATGGGATGGAGTGATTTATCAGTACAATGTACAACTCCTCTGTTATTTTATACCACTTTTACTTTTTTGACTTGCTAAATTTTCACATATAATTAAAACAGTGTCAATATTTTTCATACTTTTTTCCCCCGATTCTGTTGAGTTTAAGGATTTTAGTTCCAAAATCAAGATTTATTTTTGTTTTTTCTTTTCCTTGTCTTTCTTCCAATTCCTTTATTACCATCACTTGACTCTTCTTTATACACACACACACACACACACACACACACACACACACCCCACCCCTCAGTGCCCTCCTCCTCTCAACACTCATCCATCCACATCTATCCCTGACACTGCAATTACTTTTACAAAAATTGCTTTATAAAAATCCACTTTGTGATTTTTGCCTTAAATTTTGTAGTACATGTGCTAATATGCAAGATAACCCATTTTTGCTAAGAAACCACATTAGACTTCAGGCACTGAGGGGTTTGGTTTTGCTTATTACATCCATGACTTCCCCCCCCCCCATTTCTTTCTTGATCCTCCTTGGTTTCTAACCCCCACAGCTTTTAGAAAGAACCCAAAACCCAGCTATTCTTTGAAATAGTCTAGGAAGTTGGGAATTGGTTACCTCGTCATCCCTTCTGAGTCACAAATGTATTTTCTGTGATACTCCCAAAATAGTTCTGGGGAAGAAGATGAAAACAAGACTTACTCAGAAACCCATACACAAGATAAGAAACATCAACAAATTTTCTTACAACAGGTGACCACAGGGCTCAGATTTTAAACATTGTCTGGTTGTCAAACCATGTGTTCCCTTTTGTTTTAGAAATATGCTTCTCATGCATGTTGCATATGGCCCTGAAGGCTGAGGAATGAAGTGGCCCCTCCCTTTTATTTGGAGTTTGAGGTGTTGTTTCTATACAACTGGGGCTGTGAGAAGAAGTTCAGTGACAGGAGGGGAGGGGATGTGGCTTCTGAGTATAGACCCAGATATACAGACAATAAATCGAACCCAGCTGCCTTAAAACCAAATTTACTTATTAATGAACCAGAGACACTTTTAGGGGGGCGGGGGCGGGAGGGGAGGGATTGGGGTCAGAATGGGGGTGCTGCAATTGTATGGGGAATATAAAAATAAAATTTATTATTTAAAAAAAAAAACAAATTTACTTATTAATTTCTGGAACATTTTTGCAATGGCTATTTATCATCTTTGGTCCATTTTATTTTTTTCCCCAGAGAGCCATGTAAACCACTTCCTGGGTGAATGAGAAAGATTCCTACCAATTTTGAAATGATCAGATAGAGATTCATAGCAGAAGACATATGTCAAAGGAAGAAAGAACCTGGCAGAGCCTGAAGGACCTTGATTTACTTTCCTGGCTCCTTCAATCTAGTTCCAATTTTTTCATCTTCCAGTGGAGATAACAATCCTGTGATTCATGTAGTTGTTGAGAGCTTGACTGAAATAATGTATATAAAGTGCCTAGAGTATGATTCCTGATCCATCGTGGGCACCTGGTCCTTGCAGCTATTTGCTGTTATCTTTATTATTCCAGAGTTTTGCTCAGTGGGGTGCAGCAATCAGTATTCATAGTTAAAATGGCCTGAGTATCAGACCATGCCAGCTTCTGATGTGGGCCCCTAAATAAAATCATGCCAGCCCATCTTAGGGAACCCAAGTCCTAATGAGGTATCTGAAGTCCAGCTCCAGTCACAGGGGTTATCATGCTCTGCGCTTGGGACTGCTTGAAGAAGTCAATCAGGCAGGAAGTCTACTTTCATTGAAATGAAAGTAGGGCAGCCCTCATTCCATGGCCACACAAGCTCTGCTGCAAAAGCTGGAAAATTCCATTAAGAGTCTGTGTAGCACCAAAGGAGAGCCTCCACCGCCTTATCTGATCTAGCTGTGTTGGGGAATAAATGGATATGTGTTGAATTGCTTATTCGATTGTCACAGAGACAATGAGCAAGGCAGGGCGGACACTATTAATAAGGTCCAACTGAATACCTCAGATCCAGCTATTTCCCCACTGTGTTTTTTGTTGAAAAGGAAAAAAAATAGATTAAAAGATACAGTGATCATAAACAACACGTCCTCGTGATCATTTCTTCACATTTGTTTATGACTCTGAGAAGCTGCTTCCCGTATATGTCCTTGACGCAACTGATGTCCCTAAAATAACCAAAATAAGTGAGGGCCTGGTACTATGAATTGGCTGATATTTGTCTTTTCTACATTCACAGCTGTTTCTTCTAGAAGAAATGAGAGAGAGAAAGTATGATGGGTATGCTCGAGTGATACAGAAATCATGGAGGAAATTTGTGGCCCGAAAGAAATACGTCCAAATGAGAGAAGAAGGTATTTTCAGCATTTTCCCATGCGTTTACTAAATCTCCAGAATAATTTGAGCTTGGGTGAAGTTACAAGTCCATTTTGCTTTGCCTGAAATGTTGCATTTTGAAAAAACCTTGCGCTCATTTAGAGTTTCTCTAAATGTATTTCCACACTAAGTATCTGTCCGCACCCCCCGACCCCCGCCTTTTTTCTGGGGAACCAATCCTTCTCATTTCTCTCTGTTCTTTTGGGAATTGTAGCCTCAGACCTCCTGTTGAACAAGAAGGAGAGAAGGAGAAACAGTATTAACAGGAACTTCATTGGGGATTACATTGGGATGGAGGAGCACCCGGAACTCCAACAGTTTGTGGGAAAGAGGGAGAAGATTGATTTTGCAGACACAGTGACCAAGTACGACAGGAGGTTCAAGGTACGCGCTGAGGGCCTTCTCTGAAAGCCACCAGACTCCTCACTTTTAAAAATAACTCATCATTTTGTTTTTCTTATCAAAATAGAACATTTTTCGGGCCTCCCCTGGTGGTGCAGCAGTTGCATGCTGGGCTGCGAGGCTGCCCACAGCCTCTGCAGCGCCGGTTCGCTCCCCGGCCACCAGCGAGGGTCCCACAAAAAAAAAAAAAAAAAAAATAGAACATTTTTCCTTTAGAAAAGTATAGATAAGCCTAAAGAAAAACAGCCACCTATACCCAGAAACAAGCCCTGTTAATTTTGTGTTTATCCTTCAGAACTAGTATACAGACATTTGTTTGTATATTTAATAATTTTTCAAAACTAAGAAGTGTGTGACAAACTGTTTTATGACCTGGGTTTTTTTTTTTTTCCTTCTGTTTTCCTTAAAATATGCCAGAGAGAGTTTTCCATGTTAATAGATGTATCAATGTAAATTACTTTAACTGCTAGTGTTCCATTCAGCAGATGCTTCATGATGTTTTTAGTCAGTTTCTCATCATTTCTTTCTTAATGATATTTTTTGCACTATCATAAAGAGAGACTGCAGTGAGCATTCTTTCATGCATATCTTTGTGTGCTAGTAGGAGAGGAACCATCGGGTCAAAAGATTCAGAATTGTAAGCAATACCACAAAGTGTTCTTACTCATTTTCCCTGAGTGAAGGAACAGCTCAGCAAGGCTTCCCCACAGCCAGCGGAGGAATAGCTGGCATTTCTTACCTCTTCCCTTAGACTTTTTTCCTGATAAAATCTTGCTGCTGTTAGTAAAATCTGAAGCCACAGTAGCTCACGGACTCATTAAGTGCGTTTTTTAGTCAGGAAAAAAATTAATGCAATAAAGAACAGTATTAATTGAACTAAAAGGATAATGTTGTTTTGCTAAAACCAAATCATCACTTATGCCTGCCAGGCGCTCTGGTGGCAGATTTGAGGGCCAACATGGTGTTTGTTTCCTCAGTGTACAGGTATAAGATAGTTGGTAATCTACGTATTTCAGGATTATCATTGAAATGAAGATTTATCCATTTTAAAAAGTAACAACTTCATGAATTCACACAAAACATATATGCAGACACTTAAGGGATCTGTTTTGAGAAACGCGCTGGAGCATATAATCATATGCGTCCCCATATGTGTTTGGTTTGCCCAGGTCTATCCCTTTATGCCTTTTGTCCTGATACCTTAAATGGATCCATGTGAGTTTGCCAGCTTTGTAAATCAAAGAGCATCAAATGTTAGAAATTTCATATTTGTCAACCTAGTAATTATTAGCAGTGTCCATTCACTCCCAAGGAATCTGGTTAGATGACAGTGGAATGGCCAACCCAATGGGCCATTGGAAGTGGATATTAGTTACCAGTAGAAGTGGATATTAGTTACCCAGGACAGCTTTCTTCATCTGGTGACTCCCCCCTTGTGTAGACAGTGCTCAGGTCCACATGACTAGCCACCTTCTTAAAGCTCCTCTTCTTACAGGGTGTAAAGCGAGACTTACTTCTTACTCCAAAGTGCTTATACTTAATCGGACGAGAAAAGGTCAAACAGGGCCCAGACAAAGGCCTGGTGAAAGAAGTTCTGAAGCGGAGAATCGAGATGGAGAGGATCTTGTCTGTGTCCCTCAGGTGAGTGGAGAGGGGCGGAGGCAGAGGTGTCTCCCTTCCCTCAACATTGCGGCCCACTGTTTCCAAATACAACCAGAGAAAGGCCTGGCTGGGCTCCCCAGTTGTCAAAACCACGATGAAGAGAACGGAACTTCTTCCCAGAGAAACCTGTCCATGAAAGGTCCCTGAGAATCTTGATACAACAGCAGTAAGATCCCTGGAAAAAGCTGCCTCCTGGTCAGCTGCTCTAATGGAGAGATCCTTTGTTCACATAAAGTTTGTCAAATAAGCCAGTATATAGAAAGAGAGTATAATCACTCTTAATAAGTGGGCCAGGGCTCCAGAGACTTGTCCCCAAGCCCACATCAGACCCTTTGAAGACCTCACCTATTTCAGAGAAAGCCCCATCAGAGGTGCCTGTTAAGTCTTCAGTGTTGCTGTTCCTTTTTCTGTGCCCTCTGACTGTTTTGGAAGAAACATTTCTTTGAGGCTCCTGTGGGTCCTTTCTGCCTTTTCATATAAGGCAGGGAATATAAACTGGTCTCCGTAATCTGTAGCTCCAGAGTCATCGCCAAGTGCTTCCACTCCAAGTTCACAGGCAGGGGCCCTTGCTCGTCTGTCAGCCTCTGCAATGCTTTTGGCAAAGCCACTGCTATCCATGAGACTTCCCTTCATCTTCCCGGGCTGGGAACTCTCAGGCCAAGTTCCCTCTAAAGAGAGGAAATCCTCCCAGTCTACAGACTAGCAGAAGAGGCAGGAAGGCCCCTTTGAGCCCAGTAGCTTCCTCCCTGAGCTGTGTCCCTGGGTCCTTCTGCGGATACCATTGCCATTGCCAGCACAACTTTTGGGCTGCGATTTCGTGAAAAGTGTTCTGGTTTCTTGGGAACATGTCTCCCTGGAACTGGGACACCTCTCAAGTCATTCCACACAGAAGACAAAATTGCTGCGCTTGGGAAAAAGCAGGGGCTTTGTGTGCTTAAGCATCTGACCTCGCAGGCTGGAAATCCTGGCTCCAGTGTATAATCCAAAGCAGATTTCAAGTTGTGTCCATTCTTGCCTGTGTCACTGTGGTTTCTGATTCTATCTGTTCCCAATTTTCCTGGATAAAGAGCCAGGCTGTGTAGTGAGGCTAAATGTTTAAAACATCTCAAGTCAGGATGTGGTAAAACTTCTAAGCAGATGAGCCCATCCTGTCACGGCCCCCACCCCAGGTAGGACTCAGTGCCGTGACTTTCAAGGGAAAGCTCCCGCAGCTCCTTTTCTAGAAGTTCCCCTGGACTGAAATGGGTTAGTTGAAATGTTACGTTTGCTAGACAGTAGCAGTGGTGAACGCCAGGGATGACAGCTCTGGGGCACACGTGCTCATTACTCTGGGCGATTCTTGTTCTTCCTCTTATTATCTCCCAGGTGGGGCTTTGACCTTCAGACCACTCAAAGAATACCGATAATAAATAACCGTAACAGAACTACATTTATATCATATACTAAGACACTATCTTGCCCATCAAGTTGTTGAGGAATATCAAGGTGTGAGATAATCACACTGAGTTCTTTTTCTCTTTCTTCTTCTCTCACGGCCTCTGGGGATACAGTGTCTCCTGGAACAGCCAGCTTCTTTCTCAGCTTCCTCTTTAGCATTCATGGTCTGGACATTTACTTCCTTGCGGCCTTTTCTTCTTTAGAGGATGTAATAAAATGAGGTACTTAGTCTAAAAGTTGTTCTGGCTGTAGGGAAAAAAGCCTGAGTCATTTTAACTTGTGATTTCTGTGTGCTGCAGTTAGCGAGCTTCACACTTAGCAGGGCTAATATTGTTTCCTCACTTCCTTTATTCATTGGGTGTAGGCCAATAATCCCAACCAAATTAGGAAAACAACCAGACGGATGATGGTGTGTGAACAGTCACACCCAGAGTGGAAATGGTGGCGCCAGATGACCAAAGCACACACATGCACATTGTGTGTGTGTGTGTGTGTGTGTGTGTGTGTGTGTCCTCTAAATAGATCAATACTACAGAGAAAGATTTTAACAGTTGTTTCACACTTCAGGAATGAAAGCTGTAACATCTGTATGTGTTTTGAAGAGTTTATGAGACTTACGAAGCTCACTACTTAGCTAAAATAGCCCAGTGCCTTCTACTTAAGACTGTCAGTGTCCCAAAACTTGACCTTTCAGCCTGTCTTCAACTCTTAGAACATAACTGCTATCAAAGCGAAATGGGCTCACGCATGGTTCCCTAGTCAAGCAAACCGCCCATACGAAAGCTGTCAGGAGACACGTTTTGAAATGTGAGCATGACTAAATATTTGATATAGAGGATTGATTGTTTCTTTTTTTTTTTATTTATTTATTTATTTATTTATTTATTTATTTATACAAGCACTGGGTAGAGTCAGAAGCACGGGAGGGTGAGAGAATTCACCAGAGCCAGAGTGGGGAGCAGAGCAGGCAGAAGGACCGAAGTACACTGCTGAGGGGAGCAGCGGGCGGCAGGAGAGGTCTGCGCGCCCTGTGGGACCCTCCTCTGGTGGCCGGGGAGCAGCCGGGGATTGAACTGGCGCTGCATAGGCTGCGGGCAGCTTCGCAACCCAGCGTTCAACCGCTGCGCCACCGGGGAGGCCCTGATTGTTTCTTTAGGTGTGATAATGGTAGTGTGGTTTTTTTATTTAAAGAGGCTTTGTCTTCTTGAGATACACAATAAAATATTGCAGGATAAAATAATATTTGTACTTTGTGCTAAAATAGCTTAGTTTATGTGTGGAAGTGGGGCAGCAGGGATGTAGCTAAATATAATGGTCGGTAAATTGATAATTGTTGAAACCTCTTGACATGGAGGTTCTTTCTGCTCTTTTTATATTTTTAAATTTTTCCATAATATCATGTTGTTTTCTCAGGTCCTCCAGTAAAATCATATTTTTATACTTTTTTTTTACCTTTCATGAATATAGTGAAATAATGTCTGCTTGAGTTATAGTTGAAAATAAGTAACATTTTTATGTACACGTGAAAAAGCAGAGTATGCTCAGAGATAGGAAGACTGCCGTGGTTTGAAGGGACTCTAGTATGATTCGAACAGGGAAGATCCTTGTCTAAGTAAGACTAAAGCAATGCTGCCTGCATTTCCACTCTCTTCGGAGACTTGGTGAGACAGTCGGGAGATATCACGTCAATAGATAGTTACCCTTCGATATCTGAGATGTGGGACATCTGCTGATGGACCAAGCATCAGTTGTGGAAGGATCCTTATAGAGCTGTTTCTTGTCCAAGTACTGACCTGGCCTCACTTTTACCTGAAAACTCAGTTTGCTGAAAGGGTGGCCACACGATATAATAACCTATGTTGTTTGCTTTCCTGTTGGATAATAAGATTGGTACCATAAACATCTCATATTTGGTGTTTTCTCTAAGAAGCCTTAGAGTAGCCCTTCTTGGTTTGATAGCTTACTGCCTTCAGCCCAGACACTCTGTGGCTGCCAGTCTGGGTCAGTAGATTGCCCGGCCCTTGTGTGTAATCAGAAGAGCATCCTGCAAGAGGGTTCTTAGAGAGAGGTGCTGGCACCCGGAGGCCTGACGTTCTTGCCTAGAACATTTCATTGCCCAGATGCCCCGAACCTCTGGCTATGAGAACAGCCTGTGTCACTACCTGTGCCGCTGACCTGCGACATTACTGAGATCTTCACTTGATGTGGCCTTTGGGAACTGGAAGGTGTTAACATTTTTGGAATGACCATCTATCTACCTTGTGTTCTTCCTTGGGATTCGAAGGTTAATGAGACAGTCACTGCTTCCAGGTGTTCCCTTCCATGCTGGAAGGGGGAGCAGACACTTGGGTGGACCTGGGCCCCAAGGTGACAAACGTTCAGGGAGTGATACCCAGGCTGCTCCTGGGATAGAAAACACCAGAGTGAGCCTTTCATCTGTGCATCAGGTGAAGCTCCTGCCCATGTTGATGCCTGTCCCAACACTGTTTATTCACCTCTGCACTTGCCAGCTTATTAAAGAGGCATATATTTCATAATCAGGAAACAATTTTTATAAAAACAGTTCTATCCTTGGAAATTGCCTTTTAGCTTACAAAAAAAAAAAAAAACTTCTGTAGAACATTATTTAGTGTCTTGTAACTAACATTTTTGTGAAGATCTGGTTTAGGGGAGTAAAACAAGATTTTTCTAGTGTTGTCAGCAATACAACAATAAGCCACAAAGATGAGGGAAGAAAAAACAAGTACAGAGCCAAACCAGGGACTACTAAAGGATCTTTCAGCACAGGGGCCTGTGTCAAACATCTGTAAGAAATTGCAGCTTAAGCATATGAATAAGACAGGGGTGAAGTCCAAAGATAAGTCTGATTTTTTAGAATAAATAAAGTGAAAGCTTTCTTTTCAGATCTAGGAGCATGGGCTGAGGAGGGTGGTTTCACTGATTCACATGCCTGGGTCACTGAAGGGAGGAGCTTTTGAATTTGATGGTTGAAGTCAAAGTGTCCAAACACATCGCTTTTCATTTCCAGATTCATGCTGATAAATGACCTTAGTCTTGGCCTCCTTGCTTTCTTCTCTTTATGGTAATGAAACTCCTAATAAATCTAAGCACGGTCTACTCCGCCAGGTTACTTGTGTCGGCCGCATTTAGCCACGTTGAATAATCACAGTTCTGCCTAAAGTACAGCCAGGCAAACAGACATGTCCAGACATGCCAGAGTGCCTTGAGGCAGGCAACTGAAACAGAACAGTTTCACCCCTCACCGCACATACCTTAAAGTGGTGCTTCTTGTTTCGCTTTTTCCCCATTGCACACACCCCTCAATTACCCTGAACACCGCCACTGTCTTATACCTGTGCCGGGGTGCTTGGGATGAAGTGGGAGAGCTTTGAAAGTGCCTTTGGAGTTTTGAATTTCTGTTGCCTGACCAGAAAACAGGAAGATGGTTGTAGCTTTGTGGTGACACTCTGAGACTTTATTTTCAACTTTTTGGAAAAGATTCTGATTCCCTTTTAGGAATTGTAGTCTTAGGCCTTTTTTAGGCCCACCAAGGTCCTTTTGTAGGAAGATTGGGTTGGGACGGAGGAAAAGTTTGTGAACAAAGAGGTATAATGGAAAGATAGGAAGCTGTCCTGCAATGCCCATTCTCTCCTTTACATACTGACAGCTGGACGCCTACCCAAATACTACATTTCCCAGGCTTCCTTGCATCAAGGTGTCACCATGTGACATAGTGCTGACTGATGAGGTATGAGCAGAAGTGACTAATACATCTTACTAGTTACACCTTTACATGGAAGGAAGACTAACAGGCTCTGCCCTAAACAGTCAAGACAACAGGCAAAGACTGGGAAAGCTTTGTGTCCGTTTTAGAAACCACGATCTTAGTCTTTTAGGAAGCTTTCTGTAAGACAAATACTGGAGGCCCAGCCTCTCCCGTTCTCTCTACAGCTTCCAAAACTCTCTCCCCTCCATGCAGGAGTATCCCCATATTCCTACCCTGTTTAGTCACAGAATTCCCACACAGGTATATAATTTCTCCGTCCCACGATACTCATTAGCGTGCAGGTAATGGCTGTGCCTGCGGCTGTCTGTATGCCTGTTTTGGGCAGCTGCTGTGTTTGTACATTCAGCAGCACCCAGCATGGAATCTGAGCAGAAAACCAAAATCTCAGAGGCTCTTAAGTGCACTTTAAGCCCTAGACACTGGCTTCCTCTTTTTTTTTTTTTTTTAAATTTCTCCTATGTTTCTTTCTTTTTTTAGATTTTTTTATTTATTTATACAAGCACTGGGTACAGTCAGAGCACGCGGGAGGGTGAGAGAATTCACCAGAGCCAGAGCGGGGAGCAGAGCAGGCAGAAGAACCGAAGTACACTGCTGAGGGGAGCAGCGGGCGGCAGGAGAGGTCTGTGCGCCATGTGGGACCCTCCTCTGGTGGCCGGGGAGCAGCCGGGGATCGAACCGGCGCTGCAGAGGCTGCGGGCAGCTTCACAACCCAGCGCTCAAGCACTGCGCCACCGGGGAGGTCCCCCTGGCTTCCCTTTTGATAAGTGAACTTACAGTTCTTCAAGTTAGGATTTGTTACAATAGCTACAACCCTCTCATAAATTTCTACTAACTTGTTACTTATGTGGAATTGTTCCTTTTCACCTACATTCTATTTATAGCATTCTGGGTTTTTACGATTTTAGGAATATAGAGGTTGAATTTGAAAAATTTTTTTTTAATATAGATTACATTGTCCTTAAAATTTCTGATTCAAAAAATAATGTGGATGGCGCGCAGACCTCTCCTGCCGCCCCCTGCTCCCCTCAGCAGTGTACTTACTCAGTCTGCCTGCTCTGCTCTCCCCTCTGGCTCTGGTGAATTCTCTCTCACCCCCACACTTCTGACTGTACCCAGTGCTTGTATAAATAAAATCAATAAATCTTAAAAAAAAAAAAAAAGAAGTTGGTTGCATTAAAAAAATAATAATAATGTGGAGTATTTTGATTATGCTTCTGGTAGACTATAAAATTCCTTTAAAAGCACATTTCAGCCATGTTGTTTTATTTAGTCTTAAAGATTATCATTTACAGAAAGATGATAGAAACCTTATGCAATTAAAAAAAGTGTCAATGGGGCCTCCCCGGTGGCGCAGCGGTTGAGCGCTGGGTTGCGAAGCTGCCCGCGGCCTCTGCGGCGCCGGTTTGATCCCCGGCTGCTCCCCGGCCACCAGAGGAGGGTCCCACATGGCGCGCAGACCTCTCCTGCCGCCCGCTGCTCCCCTCAGCAGTGTACTTCGGTCCTTCTGCCTGCTCTGCTCCCCGCTCTGGCTCTGGTGAATTCTCTCACCCTCCCGCGCTTCTGACTGTACCCAGTGCATGTATAAACAAACAAACAAAACAAAACAAACAAATAAATAAATAAATAAAAACATGCCTCTATTAAAAAAAATTAAAAAAAAAAAGTGTCAATGAAATAATGTAATAAACAGAAGCCCATGTTTGATGGAGTTTTTCCAATCTCTTCGCAGTACCATGCAGGATGACATTTTTATTCTTCATGAACAAGAGTACGACAGCTTGCTTGAATCTGTCTTCAAAACCGAATTCTTAAGCCTCTTAGCAAAGCATTATGAGGAAAGAACCCAGAAGCAACTACCTCTGAAATTTAGCAATACGTAAGTAGGAATTTGGGACCCAAACTTCTGAGTAGAAGTAGAGGGGGCCTAGTTCTCACGCCAGGGGCCAGGCCAACAGGAGGGGAGGGCTGCAGGTTGGGGTGTGGGTTCCGACCAGCTCCAGCGGCTTCAGTGAAGCCCAGGCCCAGTACTTCAGGACTCCCGTGGATCCGCGGAGTCTGCAAAGACAGTGCGGACTTGGAAAAGGTCAGGTTTGCATTTCTGTAAAATAATGACTTCATAAAATGGTGTATTTTATCATTTGGACAAAGGTCACCAAAGGAAGGCAGGGAAAGGCCAGTTTTTATAAATCCCCAATAGAGGAATATTTTATTTAGCAAACAGAAATAAGAGTAAGACAAAAGCAAAGGACTGATTGGAGGGGGGCTAAGTTTACAATATCGATGCATAATAAAGCCTTTTGGGGGGGGGCCTTGGGGACTTGAGGTGGGAGGACAATGAGGGGCCAGTATCTTGTATCTTGGCACACCTAGACATTGGCAAACTGCTGATTACCTAACCTCATATTTGCTGAGGGAGAATTACTAGTTTATCCGCCTAAAGTTGCCCCTCTATAAAATGGGGAGGGCCCCATCTCTTCCTGTTCACTAGTATGTGTGAAACTTAGCCATGTCTAGTGCTGCTGTGGTTGATCTGAAGTAGGCACTGGTGGTGACATGACTTCATTACAGCTTTTCTAAAGAACAATCAGGCCATCAGTCCCAAGGGCCATTATTTGTATCTGGGAATTTGTGCTCAAAAAAGGGAAGACTGTGTAGAGCCATGTCACTCGTCAGAATATATCAGCAGCCCTAAAACTGATTTTTCTGTCTTGCAATATGAGAAAATATAAGTTAAAAAAGCAGAATATGGAGTTGTGTTAAGTACACACAGAGGCAATATGAAAAATAAACTTTGGCTGGGGAGTTTTGGAATTGTGAGTAAACTTCCCTTCTATTTGTATTTTGATTGCTAGTGTTTATTTTCTTCACTATTGGGGGCAGGGACTCTCGAAGAAATAGAACTTAATTCAGCAGCCGCATTCTATATTAAGGAAGCGTGGGTTCGCTAGTGTCTGAGGCATCTCCTTCTGCCACAAACTCCACCTGAGAGAAAGCGGGGAAAAGCACAATGATACGACGCAGCAGGTGTGGCCTCAAATTGTCCCCATCCTGCATTCCCCAAGACAGCCGCACAATCCACCTGACAAAGGGGCAGTGGCACCTGCAGTGGGGTACCTCCCTCACCAACCGGTTTCTCACAGGTGCTGGGCCCTAGATGCTTCCACCTCTGGTTCCTGGGCTCACTTACCACCATGCCACACCCATGGAGCTTGCACCCAGGCTCTTGGCCCTGTCCCTGCTCTAGGTTACCCGGTCTTGCCTAGTTTTTCCAGCATGTTTGCCCAGCAGCAGAAGTCCCTGCTGGAGACTGTGAGCAGCATTTTCTCGCTGCTTCAGTCAACTTGTGAATTCCAACAAACACAGAAATGCTTGTTGCAGGCTTGAACTCAAGTTGAAAAAGGAGAACTGGGGTCCTTGGAGTGCAGGTGGCTCCCGGCAAGTGCAGTTCCACCAAGGCTTCGGCGACCTGGCCATCCTCAAGCCCAGTAACAAGGTGCTGCAGGTCAGCATCGGACCTGGGCTGCCCAAGAACTCCCGTAAGTGCTCGAGGGGCCCCTGGGCACCTGCTGCACCCCTCCCTCCCCCAGCGGCCCTCCATCACCTGTTCCTATCAAACTCTCCTCTCACCCAGCACTCCTAAAATGCGCAGATCTGCAGGCAGAGAACCAGTCCATCTGCTTCCTGCTTTCTTCTCATTGGAACATTTCAAACTAAACCAGTATCCTGACAGAGGGGCAGGTAAAGCCTTCCTGAATGATGAGCACTCGTGTATAGAGTTCCCGGCATCACCAGCTTCATTGTGTTGGAAACAAATCAAAAGATGTTGGCTTCAAATTTCCCATCCCTTTCCTATCAAATCTTGTTGCTAATGCAAAGGCTATCCTTTCTTATCCAACCGAAAAGAAATCGACCACATTTGCCAACTGTGTACCATGCTTCGTCCTTACGATCTCCCACCCCCACTTCAGAGTGCTTTACCAGAAGACGCGCACCGTGCTCATATGCGCACCCGCTTCTGGCTTCTTCACTGGCCTTTAATTATTTTTCTATTTGTAATTGATATATATACAATTATATTTATAATGCAGAGTGTTTGCATATGCTATGTGTTCATACAAAGTAGAAATCTTTCTTCCCTGTATATGATCAGTGAAGAGTATGTGTAGCGCCAGCAAGGCACAGGCAGGTTCTCTGTGGATCTGGGCAGACAGATAAAGGAGAGTCCTGGAGCCCTCAGTGGCTTTTTCAGGCAGTTAATGATCTTTCTACATCATTTGTAGTGAGGCAACTAGATAAAGGGCAGGTGTGGTGGGGGAGCGGAGGCTAGCGGGCCTCTCAGCCCCTGGCGAATCGTTACTCTCTCTCTGGCTTTCTCTCATGGTCTCTTCCTCTCATAGCCATTCTGCGCCTCACTCTGCCACACACTGCCACACCGTACTCTGTGTAACGCCACCCCTGTGTGCTCAGTCTCTTGTCTCGCATGCCCACCTACGCATGCCCACAGCATACTCCAGGTGTCCACCATCAGGCATGGGTACCCCGAGCCCACACTCACAAGTGCCTCCTGCATTCAAGGCGCCGGTGATAGCCACAGAGGCCAGCAGAGAAAAAGTCTGTTTCCTTTACCCCACACTGCTCATCAACTGTTGGTATGTTAGTGTATCAGTTGATACTTATACAAAATAGACAGCACTTAAGGTAGATTTTTGAGGGCATTTTTAAATAGATTCTTTATGGAGACATGGACAGGATGAAGGGCACACACAGAGTGGGGACCGCAGGACAAAGAACCGTAGGATATCATTACCCCTAAACCTGAAGAAGCAGAGAGAGGGAACAGTTGAGCTGAAGGGTGTAGACAGGAAGGAGGCAGGATGCTCCAGCTTCACTTCCTGGCCAACATGCATATCTCTAGCCAGTGCCTCCCTTTGGCCCAACCCATCTGGAATGTAGAGGCCTCGGGGCTCAGGCAGAGTCATCCAAGGACTCAGACCCAGGGCACAGAGCAGAACTAAAGAGGGCTGCAGATAGCCAGCAGGGCGGAGGGAGCCGTGTTCAGCAAGCTCCAGGGTAGAACACTGTCCATTTCAGTGTTTTATTCAGTCTTAATGCAAGAGCCGTCCAGCTACGGAGACCCTGACCAGACCTCGGCCCCAGGACCCCAAGACACAGTTTCGCTTGCTACTTCCTGACCGTCTTTATCCAGCTTGTCTCTTTACAAGGAATTCACTCTGCACCCCAGTCCGCACCCCTCTGTTCTGACTGGTTCAGATCCTGCTCTCCTTCATGCCCCACTTGAGACCTTATTTATTGTTTTCCTTTCTAAACACAGATGTCTCTTGGGGACCTCATCGGGTCACCTGTGGCCCTGCCATCCCAGCTCTGATTCTGGCCACAGTGATGTTCCATTTAACACCAGCTGATTTTCTGACTCTTCATGCCTGTATCTGGGGACAAGTCCATTCCTACCCTTTGTGGTTTTTGTGCTTCATGGGGAGACTGTAGAACACACGACCTTCTGTGAAAGGCCCTTGACAATTAGCAGGTGTGGAATCGGTGCTGAGCCACGCTTCATGACAGGGGCCCTGATGAGCGACACTCACATGTTTAGCTTCCATGCTGTGTTCAGAACGTGAGCACTGACTTTAAAGCATTCCATCTGTGTCTTTGGAAAGCATCCGAAAATGGAAACATCTTTATAAGATTATTAATACTTGTCAGTAAAGCTACTGTCTCTACCATTTTAAGACTGATCTCCATCAACATCTCCCCCAGCCCCTCCAGTAGCTACTAGGGGGGCTTGTCCTTCAACTGCCCCTCTTCACTGCCCCCTGGCACCTCGCAGTCCAAGCGGGACCTGAATTCCAAATTTCACAAATGTTTATTTATTTATGCATACAGGAACTGGAGTGTAGGCCAGAGGTACGGGGGTGAGAGGATTCACCAGAGACAGACTGGGGAACAGAACAGGCAGACTGACCGAAGTACACTGCTGAGGGGAGCAGCGGGCAAAGCAGAGGTCTGCTGCGCCATGTGGGTTAATTCCCTGGCTGGGGATCGAACTCATGCCGTAGTGGCTGGCGATAGCTTGATAGCACTGAGACCTTAACCCCTGCGCCACCAGGAACGAGTTTTAACTTTGTCTTGCTTGCTTATTTCAGGTCCTACCAGAAGGAATACTATTCAAAACAGAGGTTATTCCAGTGGGATTCAAAATGCCAACTACCCACTGAGAGCTGCCCCTCCTCCCCCAGGTAAGCTCATCTCAGGTCACAGACCAAGAGCACGAACCTGGATCTGTGACTTATCAATGATGTTTGGGAAGAGACCCCTTGGCAATGCACACATATTAGCCAGCCATGGGCCATTTCAATGCCAGATGTACCCTAACTACACTGGCCCTACGTGTGACCCTGAAATTCAGGAAACGTATGAACTAGTGAGACTGAGCTGTGCTTGAGTGAAGTCGGGATTTCATTTCTAGCGATATTGCTCCCTTAGGGAAGACTTCCTAGATCAGTAGGAGAGAAAGGACAACTTTGCTGTGACAACCAGAGTATTGTCTGCCTTTCAGTTAGAGGATGTTGGCTTTGTACAAATAGGAGTCACCGGGTATTACCCTACCATCACTAAGCAGCTCCGCTCAAATATCAGGATAATATTTTGCAACTTAATGACTAAGTAGAAAAAAAATTTTTTTAGTCCTATGGGATCTAGGAAGACTGCTCCAAAAAATCAAGTAATACCTGCCTGAGAGAATTACATCATTAATGGTTTTTTTAATCTTATGTTTCACATTTTGTATTTTATGATAACAGTATAGCATGCAGATTAATAAAATCCAAATAAATTTAAAATATTTTTGCCCTTAAAATCTGTTTAGTGTTTGAAGGGCACTCTCAAATTTTACAGAATGGTTTTCTTTACTCATAAAATTCAGTTAATAAAAAAGTGCTCCCAGGATGTTTGATATTAGTAAGTTTGGAATTCTTAGTCTTGAGAGGATCATCTTGGGACCCATCTTGGGCTCAAATCATCCCAAACAAGAGAATCCTATTTTAACAGTGTTCAAGATGAGCATTAAAAAGCACTTCTTTTGTCTCCTGCTGTGGAATCTCCTGGCTGTCTGACAAAATATACGCTGGTACCTAGCAGTGAGAAACAATTCTCATCTGTTGGAGCCCCCATTCTGTCTGGCCCACCTGCCTCTCCTCCCATCTACCTTTAACCTTGAAGAAAATCCAAACAAAAGAGAACCCTTGTAGCATTGTGCTCCTACTTCTCCCCCAGCACCCGTGCAGAATTCTGGCAAACTCCTTTGCCTCAGCTAGGTTGACTGAAGTCGCCTCTGACCAAATCAGATCACAATTTCTCTAGGGGGCAATTTCTTCATCAACAAAATGAGGCGTTAGACTGAGCCCCTTAGATCAGCACATCCCTCACTCTCAGTGGTCTTATGGACCAGGGTTGGGGGGTTTTGTTTGTTTCCCTTAATTTCCAATCCATCCAAACTATACTTGAGTAAGATATTTTTTAAAAATTACTAAAACAATGGAATTTTGAAAGCATGCAAAACATAAGCCAGAGTGTCTTACTAAATTCCAGAGACATGAAATAAACCTATCAAACCACTGAAATGTTTCTAAACGCTTACTCTTAATTTCTGAACTTGACACAAGCAAGCAGGTCATCAGTGATGTGGAGCGGCCCATCTGTGAATCCCCCTGGGAGTATCATGACCCTGAGCATGTCCCGTCTGGCACACCCTCTTCTGTCCTGGGCAACCTTGGTAGCAAGCGGGTCCTCCAGTCTCCTTGTTTCTTTAATGAAGAAACTGGTGCTCTGAGAGGTCAGGTATCTTGCTCAAGGTCAACATAGCTATAACAAGCAGAATCTAAACTGAGCCCGAGTTCCTTTTAAACTGAGGCTTATCCCACTGATACCAAAGATTTCTTAATTTGGTTGGAAGAGGTTCTGGGGTAGGTTCATCAGAGTGTGCCTGAGGGGATCTTGTTCTCCTTCTTTCTTTCCCAGCTGTCAGTGGAAGAGATCGGGCTTCTTCATATACAGCGTGGGATGATAATGTGCCTTTTGGCCAAAGCCGATGATTTAGAGCTGTTACCATAATCTGTTACCTTCCGGATAATATCATCTTAACTAGAAACTATTATTTGGCTCAGAGATCTTGCTCCATCCAGATAGTTCCAACTGGCGGCCACATTTCCCCTGCTAGTGAGGAGCGTTCCCTCCACCACCCACAACGAGCTCCCGCAGAAGACACCCAAGACTGACCCCTTGAAAATGGACATCCAGCTGTTTAAACAGCTGCCTGCCAGCCCTCTTGAATCATAACCTCATAATATTTTTTAGCCCAAGAATGTGCCTGCCAACTAGTTGCAGGCTTACCTTTCCTTGACTGTGGGTTTTGAAACCCTGAACATCTGGTGACTCTATTGTCAGATTCAGCAAGTACGTGAGGGTGTCTGCTATACTCCAGGCAGTCACTGGGTTACAACTTATTAGCTCCATTTCTCACAATATATTAGCACTTATGGGCCTCCCCTGGTGGCGCAGCGGTTGAGCGCTGGGCTGCGAAGCTGCCCGCAGCCTCTGCAGCACCGGGTCGATCCCCGGCTGCTCCCCGGCCACCGGAGGAGGGTCCCACATGGCGCGCAGACCTCTCCTGCTGCCTGCTGCTCCCCTCAGCAGTGTATTTCGTCAGTCTGCCTGTTCTGCTCCCTGCTCTGGCTCTGGTGAATTCGCTCAACCTCCCGCACTTCTGACTGTACCCAGTGCTTGTATAAAAAAAATAAATAAATCTTTTAAAAATATATATATATTAGCACTTATGCCCCCCCCCACCCCCGCCCATTCTTTTAGGTGGGGAAATTGAGGCCTGGAGAAATTAAACAACTTGTTCTTGGTTAATAAATGAAAGCCAGTCAGTGCACCTTTTAGCAGATCAGAGACACTCAGCTTTGTTTTCTCCTCTTTTCCTCTCTAGGATACCATCAAAATGGCATCATCAAAAACCAGTTTGTGCCACATCCCCATGTTCCTGGAAACCTGAGGTCGAATCAGAAAAACCTGTACACTCCCATGGCCCGCCCACCCTTGCCACGGCAGCAGTCCACTGGCTCCGATCGCTTGTCGCAGATGCCGGAGAGCTTGGACTTCCTCAAGGTCCCCGACCAGGGTGCTGCAGGGTAAGACTCCCCGCTGCTGTGAGGAAAGCTGGTAGCCTCCCTCTCCTTTTGTGGCACCAAAGCTCAGGGATTTCTTCGCTCTGTCTAGGCATGAGTCTAAAGCCTTGTCCCTGCGAGTGTTCGACAGGGAATGGACGCAAATCCCCAGGCAGGAATATTGCAGCGAGGCGTTACCAAAACCAGAAAAGGGGGAACGGCCTATGTAAGCCCAATGACCTGTCTAAGACCGGGCAGGAGTAATACATGCACACTTCCTAGCGTGGCATTTTGCAAGTAGGAGGCTGCTCGGTGAAGTGCAGCCTGATGACAGCGGTGGTGGTGATGGTGCTGTCACGACTATCTCGTGGTGCCGGAACTTGTGACTTTGAAGGAATCCTCCAACTCCACAGGAGTCGCAAGGGTGGAATAGTCCTCCCTGCCGGACCTAAGGAGGGGCCTGCTCTAGCCAACTCTTCCCCATCCTCATGCTCACCTCCGTTTTCCATTCTGTCCATGTCACTAGAACGATACGTTTCACACGAGGAGCTGGAGACTTGTGTCCAAAAGAGAGTAATGCTGACGAGAAACAACAGCTCCGTTCTCAGGGTGGGCAGCTCCCCACCCACCTCGTGCCCCTTTATGAGATGTTCTTCCTGCCTTGACAGCTTCTTTCTAAAGATTCCAAAGCTCTTAGGGACTGTGCCGTGTAGTCTCCTGGTGCGTCTTTTCTCCTGGCAAGACTTACCTCATTTGGTCCTGAGGTGGGCACCTTGCCATTGTACAGTCATCAGGGGGGTGGAGGCCACACTTATTATTAAGTCTCCCCCCAAATCTCAAACAGTCATGTATACCAGAATCAGGTACAGAACTTGCTGGCCTACTTCCGGGGTTTCTGATTCCTTAGTTCTGGGTGGGGCCCAAGAATTTACATTTTACCAAGTTCTCAGATGCTGCTGACTGAGGGACCACATTTTGAAAATCACCACTCTGCAGATACCTGCTGTCTAATTGATAAAAGCCAGGGAGGTTTTCCTGTAAAGGTAAATAGAAAGGGTGCTGTTGAGGCAACGGGACCTTCACTGTCACCCAGGCTTACACCCTTCAGATCAATGGACATCACTAAAATCGTCAAACCAGCCTCCCTGGGCCCAGTTTAATGTCCCAAAGTAGGCAGGGGATTAAAATCAATCAGCAGAATGTACCAAACCTCTTAGCTCTAGCTGCTAGCTTCCTACTTGCTTTGGTTTTGGCAAGCAAAACCATCTTTCCAGCCTGCTTTGCAAGTTATAGACTTGCAAACCAGCCAGCCAGGAGCATCTGTCAGCCAAAAGCAGGCAATTGAGGAACATTGTGTCTTACCCAAGGCTGCTCCCTTCCAGCCCTCGGCTTCGTGGTTCCCTATTTAAGTCTTATCACACCCTTTGCCACCTTCGGGCCTACAGAGACATGATGCTGTCTTGGCCGTGGCTCTGGCGCTGGCAGGAGGGCACCTTCCCAAACCATCTTCCAGGCAGTAAGATTTTCCCGTCTATTGTGTGTAAAACTCATTAAGCTCACCGAGTTCGGTAGCTACCAGAATCCCAGCCAACCTCCTTTTTTCTAAGTATTTATTTTCTAAAACACATATGGTGAAAATTAAAATAATTCCTAATGTGGCTAGAGACATTGGACATACATTTCAGAAGCCCCGCGGTTACCTGTGTTTAATAACTCTCCTTCCCCAAGAAAACATGAGCTGCGTGTATTCCCTGGGAGGTTATTGGAGCAAGAGGGGCATTTTGGAATCCTGAGCTTGTGCTTTTCCATAAACATGAAAATTCCTGTACCCATCACAGTTCCAAACAGTAACCATGAATTTGCCACCAATCTATGAAAACAAGATAACCAAGGTCTTTCTCTCCTCGAGCTTTCACACCCTGGCATCTACCCCGCCCCCCTTTCCCCTCGCCTCCCCCCAGTAAATGTTCTTTACAGACATATTTAGCATAAGCAATCATTTCTTTTGGATCATGTAATGGGGATGAAATCAAATGGTGTAATTAGCACCTCAAGTTAATTCAGGAAAGTTTTTGTCAGTTTATTTTAGCTTCAGGTTTTTTTTTTTTTTTTTTTTTTTTTTTTTTCCTGAGGAAGAGCACGAAGCCTTCACTAAGTTAATTCCCATCCCTACTAGATTCTTTCCCCTTGTGTCGCCCTGGTGTCGTTGGTGACATGGTAGCTGTTCTTGTCCTCATCATCGTGATCACTCTCCATGAGAACAAAAAGCTGTGGAGGGGATTTTATCTTGCAGTCCCTGAGATGACCCTTTGGAAACTCTGATTCAGATTAAACATCTTTCTTGATTCTCAGGAGCGAGTCCGTGGCAGGCAGGAATCACAGAAGCAGTTCATTCATCAGCCTTTGCTCCGATTCCAAGGAAATGCTTGTTTTGCCGATCACTGTGCCTTATATTTTCCCTCCCATAGCTGAGATGCACCATAATCCAGCTCCAGCTCATTACTGCAAGCATTAAAACCCAGTTTGTAAATGTCTTTTCTGCTGCCCCTTTCAATGCTGTGGTCCATTTCATCGGAGGACTTCAGGAAGTTTTAGGATACTCCAGAGATTAGTCCAACTGAAGTTGGAGAAACAGAGCAATACTGAAAACTGCTCAGTGGTGAGTTTCTGGCCATGCCACAAAAGTAGCATCGATTAAAAAATGTAAATGCTGCCTGTGTGTCTCTGGACGAGATCCTCCTAATGGAGTCATATTTTCAAGGGGCTTAAATTTTTCAACAAGTGTCCAATAGCAATATTTCCCAACCCCTAATCTACAGGAGCAGCAGCCATATCCTGGCCTGGGTGGACATGAAGCTTAGGAATTCCTGGCATCCATTCCCACATTTCCAGTAATGTTTATAGATTCAACCTTTTGGAGCACAGCATATTTTTAAGAGCCAGTGAAATAAAATGCCATTATTTTCCCTTCTTAGAATTGCAAGGCATAAGTTTCACATCTGCAGAACAAAGCAGAGATATTTGAAGGCTTAATCCCTGCTCACCTGGCATAGACTAGGCCCGGTCCAGTGCCCCAGAGGCGTGGGGGCCACAGAGAAGTTCACCAAAGGTAGCTTGGCAGTGTTGCAGAGTGCAGGGGGCCAGCGAACTGGGTGTGAGTCCAGCTCATCTGTTCCCTCATTGATTCATTCATGGATTATTACTGAGTCACATGCTGGGCTCACAGATGTTTCACTAATGACCAGCTGTGGGGCCTCATGTTTATCACTTAATCTTTTTGCACCCGGTGTCCTTACCTGTGTAACAGGGATGGTGTAATATAAAATTTGGGGGGTTTCTTAAAGGCTTAATAAGGGTTTTGGAAACTATAAAGCACTAAGCAACTTGCAGGTTCATTTTTGTTTTGTCCCTGTTATTCCTGTCTTGTGGGAAATGTTAATACTGAACCAAGACTGAAAGGAAGGTGCCCCTTGGCCCTGTGAATTCATTCTCAAGAACTCAAGTCTCTGACCTGCAAAGAGTTCTGGACTCTATGAGGGTCTAATGTTCCGTGTTGCTTGATGTAATGGGGGGATGGTAGGCCTAGGGGAGCAAGACAAAAGGGAGGCATTTTTCCCCAACACACTAGTACTAGCTGTGCGCCTCTGGGCCTGCACGCACTTGAGAGCGCAGCTCCCTCTGCTGCTGTGCTGCTCCACCGTCCTGCCTCGGCATTCCCAGGAGAGCGCAAATACTAGCTTCACTTTAGAGAACTTGATCGTCATTGACGTCACAGGAGCTTTTGCTTTCTTGTGGGCTTTTGGCATCTTGTGGGATTGGGCAGCTGTCCACGCGGGCTCAGAGGTTGGGTGGCATCCTGATGTCTGGGAGCACAGGCACAGCGTGGTCTTCCCAGGTCACTCAAAAGGGGCTTTCCAGGTAGGCTGGGTTTTCTCTGAGCAAAGTGGCTGTCAAGGGCTTGGCCCCTTGGGGAACCGCGCTAACGGTTCCATTGTGGTGGTGTGAGGAGTGGAGCGGCCTGCTCGGGAAAGGTCCTGCTTGGGGGGGCTGTGACCCAGCTCCTTCGTGTGCTTGTCATCTTAATGGGCGGTAGCTTCCATGTAACGGAAAGTGACCCCAAAGTGGTGGTCAAGTAGTAATAGGAAAGCTGTGTCGTGCCAGTGACATATGTGGGAATACTGTATTGACTCAGTTCAGTGCAGGTTTATTGCTACATGGAGTTTTAGTGCCACATGCTACATGCTACTTATTGAGATGGCAACAAGGACAATAATTATAATCATGAGCCTGAAATTCTTGCTGTCATTCGCATTATGCCAATGAAATAATTTTATAACAATTTTCAGTCTTTAAGGTTTCTGAGAAGTACAGATAGCATAAAATACCAGCCATACCAAAGTTCTCTCAGTCCTGCGTATCCGTTATAAAATAAGCTGAAGGGAAGCTGCGTAGCTGAGTGCCCGCGCATTGCCGAGGGTGGGGTGGGAGGGCAGTGGGCATGCTGCGGAGCCACTAGCCCCCAGGGATAAAAAGGCCCGAGCTCTGATATTTGTCGCGGCTGGTTTCAGGCTGCCGGCAGGCCCTCGGCTGCACGGAGAGGTGGGGAGGCATGTGCTGTCTCGAGCATTGCAGGGCTGCCAGCGTACACGGGCATCAACAGAAGTAAAATGTAGCAGAATAATTAGAATTGCATTATAACTCTCTTGCCTTTGCTGTTCATGTCATTTGTTCACTCCTGAGTCTGATTTAATCATGAATAATGGCTGTTCAGCAACTCAGGCACAGAATTGCTGAAAGTGTTAACGACCTTCTCTCGCGGCTGGACGCAGCCCGGCGGGCGGTGGGCGCGGGGGCTTGCTTGCTGAGCCCCTCCTCCACGGCAGCGGCCCGGCCAGGTGCTCTCTGGCTGCGCGTGGAGGCTGCTGTACCTGCGCCACCTCATTAATCAGCTCCAGCAGCGCCTCCACGGGCGCGCGCTCCCCTTCGTGGCCGACGCAGGCGCGCCACCTAGTGGCGGAGGCGAG